CACACACACACACACTACCTCACTCAAGACGTTGATATTTTCTACTCCAGCAGAGACGCTGCTGTGAGAGGGGAATGGGGCTCAACGACGGCATGGTGTGTGTGGCTGGGACCAGACAGCAAACCGTGCCTATCACGGCATTTCTTCAGACAGTTTGCAATTTTAGCACATGGTCGGGACCATGCCTCAAAAGGAGGGATGATGTGTGATTTAATCACACAGAATTGGTATACAAAGGGGTTTACGGCATTGGCACAGAGATTCAGCCAAACATGCGCTATATGCCTCGCGCACAACCCAGGTAAGTCCCAAAAGTATCCAACAGGCTGCTCATCCTCCGCCCCTGCGCCCATTTCAACATGTCCAAAGGGACTTTGTTGAACTCACACCATGCCAAGGTAAGTAATACTGTCTGGTTCTGGCGGATCTCTGGTCCAAATGGACTGAAGTATTTGCAGGCATACACGCCACAAGCAACGCAGTGGTGAAAGCTCTGCTCACAAAAATTGTGCCCCGAGAAAAAATCTCTAGTGACACTGGCAGTCACTTTGTAGCAAAAGTCATTGAGGAAGTGGGTGAATTTCTGGGCATTGATATACGTAAACACTGCAGTTACGCCCCCTGGTCCGGAGGCACGTGCGAGCGAGAGAATGGCACTCAAAGCTCTGCCGCTAGCCCCACGTTGGGCGCGGGACCCCCGAACAGAGATCTGCCAAGCACCTCTTTGTGTGATGACGACATGCTGTCCTATTGTAAGGAAATTAATGCACTTTTGTCCTCTATTTCTGCCCAGGTCAGGAGCGCCCTGCCACAGGCTGCGCAGGCGACTGGGTCCTGATGAAGGAAACGAGACGAAAGCATTGGCGGTCCAAGCGCTGGCTCGGCCCATTCCTCGCCCTCCTGGTGACGGACACTGCCGTTAAGGTCGCGGAGAGGACAACTTGGATCCACGCCAACCACTGTCGTGCGGTGCTGCCACTGAGGGCCATAGACGAGGACACCGAGGGCGCGGACGGACCAGGCCCATCCGCGGCTCCCTACGCTGAAGAAGTTGGCCGGCGTGCGGCCACCGTCGGTGAAGCAGGCCAACAACAACACCCAGAGATTCCCAGCGTTCCCGAGGCGACCCCCCTTTTGCCCAACTCCCCAGCCCCCGGATCCGAAGGCTTGGGAGCCATGAAGGCCCTGAGCGCTCTGCTCAGCTGCAGCAAGTATGCAGAGCTGCTGCCCATTCCAAAGATTTCTCCAGAGCTTGTTCCCTCTGGCCATAATGCAGATTTGAGCTCTGCTGGAGTGCCCCCCTGGTGTCTCGTCTCCCGTGTGTCCGGAGGAGGTGGAGATGAGGGCTGCTCTACAGTTCCTGATGAGGCACATGGTGAAGCGTGCTGTCATGAGGTCTCCCATCAAATGAGCTTTGGGCCTGGCCGATCTGGAGCGTGCTCAAGCCATGGTCGCCACACCCCAAACCCCGAGCACTCTGCCCAACCGAGTGCTGAGGCCAAGGCTTCAACGCAAATAGAGTCTTGCCGCTCCAAGACCAAACATCGCCATGACCACTAACGCTCCACACACGCTCATAGGGAGCGGTGCCACTGACTGCGAGACGGCACTGCTCGTGAGTATTCCCGCGGAAAAGACTACCGAACGTAGACCGGCATGGGCCCTTGGACTGTTATGCTGGCCACACTGACACTACTTTCCGTGCTGACCGTGTTTATTATGTTAATATTGCCTTCTCTTATCGCTGTCCGGATCCATTGTGTTATTATAATGTGCTCTTTCTTTTATTGACAAGCATGTGTCTTTTCTTGTCCACTTTGGACAGCAATAATTTAAGTGTTTCAAGCTTGAAGGTGGTGTGATTACGATGCCTCTGGTATTTAACTGATTAATGCAAAAATGGTTTTTACATTATCACGGGAAAGGAGTGTGATGGCAAGCGACTAGTATTCATATCTCCCTGCTCCAGGAAGGAGCAACTCTGCCTGGTTCTATTCATATGTCCCTGCTTCAGGAAGGAACCGGGTCCCCCGACACCTACAGACAATGGCGTAAATCACTGTCTCACTCTCGCCCCCCTTTCGCCTCTTGCATATCTATCGGTCTGTATGTGTGCATTTTCTACATCCTGCTTCTCGTCACACCCTTGTGTCTTTCGCGTCTGCATCTGTATGACCTGCATTTTCTACCATTGTCTGTCTGTTCGCACCTACATCCCCAGGCGCCTCCTCACCGGTGGCCCCCCTCCCATTCTGTTGTGGGCGGGACTGTCTTTCGTGTGTGTCTGTATACAGGAAACTCGGAGCTCTGCTTCAGAGCTGGGACATGCTGCTTTTGAGTGGATGTGCTGGCCCTCCGCACTGTGCGTTAACAATAAACTTACGCTTTTGATCAGACAAAGGACCTTTGAGTTTCCTCCTTCATGGGGTATATAATTCTATAACAGTGTGTTATATAGATGTCTGTACGACCTCTCTGTATGTGTGTTATATAGATGTCTGTACGACCTCTCTCTGTATGTGTGTTATATAGATGTCTGTACGACCTCTCTCTGTATGTGTGTTATATAGATGTCTGTACGACCTCTCTCTGTATGTGTGTTATATAGATGTCTGTACGACCTCTCTGTATGTGTGTTATATAGATGTCTGTACGACCTCTCTGTATGTGTTATATAGATGTCTGTACGACCTCTCTGTATGTGTGTTATATAGATGTCTGTACGACCTCTCTCTGTATGTGTGTTATATAGATGTCTGTACGACCTCTCCCTGTATGTGTGTTATATAGATGTCTGTACGACCTCTCTCTGTATGTGTGTTATATAGATGTCTGTACGACCTCTCTCTGTATGTGTGTTATATAGATGTCTGTACGACCTCTCTCTGTGTGTTATATAGATGTCTGTACAACCTCTCTCTGTATGTGTGTTATATAGATGTCTGTACAACCTCTCTCTGTATGTGTGTTATATAGATGTCTGTACGACCTCTCTGTATGTGTGTTATATAGATGTCTGTACGACCTCTCTCTGTGTGTGTGTTATATAGATGTCTGTACGACCTCTCTCTGTATGTGTGTTATATAGATGTCTGTACGACCTCTCTGTATGTGTGTTATATAGATGTCTGTACGACCTCTCTGTATGTGTGTTATATAGATGTCTGTACGACCTCTCTGTATGTGTGTTATATAGATGTCTGTACGACCTCTCTCTCTGTATGTGTGTTATATAGATGTCTGTACGACCTCTCTCTGTATGTGTGTTATATAGATGTCTGTACGACCTCTCTGTATGTGTGTTATATAGATGTCTGTACGACCTCTCTGTATGTGTGTTATATAGATGTCTGTACGACCTCTCTCTGTATGTGTGTTATATCGATGTCTGTACGACCTCTCTCTGTATGTGTGTTATATAGATGTCTGTACGACCTCTCTGTATGTGTGTTATATAGATGTCTGTACGACCTCTCTGTATGTGTGTTATATAGATGTCTGTACGACCTCTCTGTATGTGTGTTATATAGATGTCTGTACGACCTCTCTCTGTATGTGTGTTATATAGATGTCTGTACGACCTCTCTCTGTATGTGTGTTATATAGATGTCTGTACGACCTCTCTGTATGTGTGTTATATAGATGTCTGTACGACCTCTCTGTATGTGTGTTATATAGATGTCTGTACGACCTCTCTCTGTATGTGTGTTATATAGATGTCTGTACGACCTCTCTCTGTATGTGTGTTATATAGATGGCTGTACGACCTCTCTGTATGTGTGTTATATCGATGTCTGTACGACCTCTCTCTGTATGTGTGTTATATAGATGTCTGTACGACCTCTCTCTGTATGTGTGTTATATAGATGTCTGTACGACCTCTCTCTGTATGTGTGTTATATAGATGTCTGTACGACCTCTCTCTGTATGTGTGTTATATAGATGTCTGTACGACCTCTCTCTGTATGTGTGTTATATAGATGTCTGTACGACCTCTCTCTGTATGTGTGTTATATAGATGTCTGTACGACCTCTCTCTGTATGTGTGTTATATAGATGTCTGTACGACCTCTCTCTGTATGTGTTATATAGATGTCTGTACGACCTCTCTGTATGTGTGTTATATGGATGTCTGTACGACCTCTCTGTATGTGTGTTATATAGATGTCTGTACGACCTCTCTCTGTATGTGTGTTATATAGATGTCTGTACGACCTCTCTCTGTATGTGTGTTATATAGATGTCTGTACGACCTCTCTCTGTATGTGTGTTATATAGATGTCTGTACGACCTCTCTGTATGTGTGTTATATAGATGTCTGTACGACCTCTCTGTATGTGTTATATAGATGTCTGTACGACCTCTCTGTATGTGTGTTATATAGATGTCTGTACGACCTCTCTCTGTATGTGTGTTATATAGATGTCTGTACGACCTCTCTCTGTATGTGTGTTATATAGATGGCTGTACGACCTCTCTGTATGTGTGTTATATAGATGTCTGTACGACCTCTCTCTGTATGTGTGTTATATAGATGTCTGTACGACCTCTCTCTGTATGTGTGTTATATAGATGTCTGTACGACCTCTCTCTGTATGTGTGTTATATAGATGTCTGTACGACCTCTCTGTATGTGTGTTATATAGATGTCTGTACGACCTCTCTCTGTATGTGTGTTATATAGATGTCTGTACGACCTCTCTCTGTATGTGTGTTATATAGATGTCTGTACGACCTCTCTCTGTATGTGTGTTATATAGATGTCTGTACGACCTCTCTCTGTATGTGTGTTATATAGATGTCTGTACGACCTCTCTCTGTATGTGTGTTATATAGATGTCTGTACGACCTCTCTCTGTATGTGTGTTATATAGATGTCTGTACGACCTCTCTGTATGTGTGTTATATAGATGTCTGTACGACCTCTCTGTATGTGTGTTATATAGATGTCTGTACGACCTCTCTCTGTATGTGTGTTATATAGATGTCTGTATAACCTCTCACCTCTGCTCGTGCCCAAAGCCCACGCTCTCGGCCCGGGTGAACCCGTGGCTCCTCCAGGACGGGGTGGAGGACGATGACACGCTGTGGGACCAGTGCGAGCCAGAGCGGGGGACGGGGCGGGGCCATGGGGCGGAGCCTGAGGGGGCAGGGCCAGAGGACGTGTAGCCTTGAGTGTAGGCCTCTGCTGGGATCCCTCCTAATGCCATGTTACTGAAGCCCAGACGCATGCTCTCCGAGTCAAAGGCCTCGATCTCATGGGCCTGACGCTCCAGCAGGGACCGGATCCTCTCAGAGCGCTCGTTCTGGAGGGACAGCATCTCCTCCTCTATCTGAAGAAAACATGGAACCATAGAAACATGATCTCTCTGGTCTGCTCTCTCTGCACTCCCTCTCCTCTTTCTACTCTCTGTGGGTGGTGTGACTGCACCAGTCTGTGTGTATGTTCGTACCCTCTGTTCCAACAGGGCTCGCCTTATGGACACTCTTTGCTCCAGCTCCTTGGCCTCCCTCTCATGCTGGGAGTCCGTGTGAATCTTGATTTTGCTTTGATAAGCGTTGAGTAGTTCCAGTTCCTGTTGCAGCTGCATCCTCAGGACCTGGTACTCGGCCTCCTGAGTCTCGTCCAAACGTAGCTGAAGAAGAGACAGCAGCAGACTTCCAGCTGTTAGACAGGTCTAAGGCAGGACTAAAGCAGGTCTAAAGCTCTCACCTTGCTGACCGCCTGAGTGGACAGCATGTCGTTGACAGAGTGGTCGTATTGCTCTGCGAGTATGGCCAGTTTGCGGGTCTGCTCCTCTTTGAGTCTCTTGAGCACCGCCTTGTGGTCGACTTTGGGAGTGCTCTCCAGGAGGTGGTTCCTCAGAGCCTTGTACTGACGGGTCTGAATCTTACATGTCTCCTGGAACTGACGCTTGATCTGCAGCTCCTTTGTCTGCAGAGAGGAGGCAGGAGAGAGGAGCCAGTCAGTGACAGTGACGTTGAAGTGAAAATACTGGAAGAACAGGTCCTGTTCTGACCCGCCACCCCCCGACTTCTGATCACAGCTAAATGGTTTTTTTTTTTTAAATGAGATACAATCTCATTTTAATTTTGGAAATAGATATTTCCCACCTCTACACCTTCTCCATCGACTCCCACTGATGACTGCTGTCGTTGTGTCCTTGGGCAAGACACTTAACCCCACTTTGCCCAAAAGCCCCCACTGAAAGATCAAGGCTATGCTCACAGTCAGAGAGCAGCCTCCTGTGGACTCACCACCTGCAGAGGGTCAGTGAGGGGCTGGTGCTATGAGACTTGACCCCTGACCCAGAAATGGATTAAAGGGTAGAAAATGGATGGATGGATGGATGGATGGATGGATATTTTATTTTTTTCAACAAATTCAATATATTACAGACTAAACTACTCTCCACTAATGCCTGTTGAGACTTTTGTTAAAGCTCTTAAGACTAAAGTTACGTTCTCCAGGTTTAAACATGCATTTATGAGACTAAAGTTATATACCCCAGCTTTAAACTGGTTGCAGTGTTACCTTCAGGCTCTTGGGTTGCTGTCGGACCTCCACACTGTGCTTCTGCCTCAGCTCCTGCTCTCTCCTCTTGTTGTACTCCATCTGGTTGGTGAGTTCTGTTTGGTGCTGGGTCCGGATCAGCTCGGCTCGGGTCCTCTGCACCAGGGCCAACTGGCGGAACTCCAGCTCCTGTGTGGACTCATGGTGCCGCAGGAGCATGGCCCTCTCCAGGTCCTTCTGAGTCTGCTTCTTGTTCAGCTCCTGGTGCACACACAAGCATTGAGGTCTCTCCCCCATCATCAGACCTCAGCAGCCCCCTCCCCTGTCTTCACCCCCTCTCCCCCCAGTCTAACCTCACCCCCCATCATCAGACCTCAGCAGCCCCCTCCCCTGTCTTCACCCCCTCTCCCCCCAGTCTAACCTCACCCCCCATCATCAGATCTCAGCAGCCCCCTCCCCTAGTCTTCACCCCCTCTCCCCCCAGTCTAACCTCACCCCCCATCATCAGATCTCAGCAGCCCTCTCCCCTGCCTTCACCCCCTCTCCCCCCAGTCTCACCTCACCCCCCTCATCAGACCTCAGTAGCCCTCTCCCCTGCCTTCACCTCCCTCTCCCTCCAGTCTCACCTCCCCTGCCTTCACCTCCTCTCCCCCCAGTCTCACCTCCTCTGCCTTCACCCCCTCTCCCCCCAGTCTCACCTCCTCTGCCTTCACCCCCTCTCCCCCCAGTCTCACCTCCCCTGCCTTCACCTCCCTCTCCCCCCAGTCTCACCTCCCCTGCCTTCACCCCCTCTCCCCCCAGTCTCACCTCCTCTGCCTTCACCCCCTCTCCCCCCAGTCTCACCTCCTCTGCCTTCACCCCCTCTCCCTCCAGTCTCACCTCCCCTGCCTTCACCTCCTCTCCCTCCAGTCTCACCTCCCCTGCCTTCACCCCCTCCAGTCTCACCTCCTCTGCCTTCACCCCCTCTCCCCCCAGTCTCACCTCCTCTGCCTTCACCCCCTCTCCCTCCAGTCTCACCTCCCCTGCCTTCACCTCCTCTCCCTCCAGTCTCACCTCCCCTGCCTTCACCCCCTCCAGTCTCACCTCCTCTGCCTTCACCCCCTCTCCCCCCAGTCTCACCTCCCCTGCCTTCACCCCCTCTCCCCCCAGTCTCACCTCCCATGCCTTCACCCCCTCTCCCCCCAGTCTCACCTCCTCTGCCTTCACCCCCTCTCCCCCCAGTCTCACCTCCTCTGCCTTCACCCCCTCTCCCCCCAGTCTCACCTCCTCTGCCTTCACCCCCTCTCCCTCCAGTCTCACCTCCCCTGCCTTCACCCCCTCTCCCCCCAGTCTCACCTCCCATGCCTTCACCCCCTCTCCCCCCAGTCTCACCTCCTCTGCCTTCACCCCCTCTCCCCCCAGTCTCACCTCCTCTGCCTTCACCCCCTCTCCCCCCAGTCTCACCTCCTCTGCCTTCACCCCCTCTCCCTCCAGTCTCACCTCCCCTGCCTTCACCCCCTCTCCCCCCAGTCTCACCTCCTCTGCCTTCACCCCCTCTCCCTCCAGTCTCACCTCCCCTGCCTTCACCTCCCTCTCCCTCCAGTCTCACCTCCCCTGCCTTCAACCCCTCTCCCCCCAGTCTCACCTCCTCTGCCTTCACCCCCTCTCCCTCCAGTCTCACCTCCCCTGCCTTCACCTCCTCTCCCTCCAGTCTCACCTCCCCTGCCTTCACCCCCTCCAGTCTCACCTCCCCTGCCTTCACCTCCCTCTCCCTCCAGTCTCACCTCCCCTGCCTTCACCCCCTCTCCCCCCAGTCTCACCTCCCCTGCCTTCAACCCCTCTCCCCCCAGTCTCACCTCCTCGCCTTCACCCCCTCTCCCTCCAGTCTCACCTCCCCTGCCTTCACCCCCTCTCCCCCCAGTCTCACCTCCCCTGCCTTCACCTCCTCTCCCTCCAGTCTCACCTCCTCTGCCTTCACCCCCTCCTCCCCCCCAGTCTCACCTCCTCTGCCTTCACCTCCTCTCCCTCCAGTCTCACCTCCCCTGCCTTCACCTCCTCTCCCTCCAGTCTCACCTCCCCTGCCTTCACCCCCTCTCCCTCCAGTCTCACCTCCCCTGCCTTCACCCCCTCTCCCTCCAGTCTCACCTCCCCTGCCTTCACTCCCTCTCCCTCCAGTCTCACCTCACCCCCCCCTCATCAGACCTCAGTAGCCCTCTCCCCTGCCTTCACCTCCTCTCCCCCCAGTCTCACCTCCCCTGCCTTCACCCCCTCTCCCTCCAGTCTCACCTCTCTCATCAGGTCCTGCTCCAGGTTGTGTCTGGCCAGCAGCATCTTCCTCTTGTACTGCCTGCTCTGTAGTTCGTAGTACTGGCGCTGTCTCCTCAGGAGGTTGTTCTCCTCTTCGGCCTGGACCTGCTGCAGACATTCCTTCTGCCTCATCAGCCACTCCTGCTTCTCCCTCTTCGGGGTCGACTGGTTCTCGTTCAGCTCCTGCACACAGGTCACATGCACCTTTCAGCATTTATGGAGCTAAACACACACCCAGGCTAAAGCAGGTGCTCAGAAGGAACAGCAGGAGAAAAGCATAGTCATAACTAGCAGTAGCAGCAGAGGAAGTTATTTATATAGCGCACTTCACAGACCAGGTCATACAAAGCTCTTCACAAGTCTTGTTGTACGGAGTATAAGCAGTAGCAGCATCATTACCTCTTTCAGCTGGTCCTTCCTTGCCCTGTATTGCCGTTTCTGGTTCTCCAACAGACTCGTCAGCTCTTTCTTCTGTTGGCCCAGAATGTGCTGCTGGAACTTCTTCTCTTCAGTCAGAGCAGCTTTGGTCTGAAGCATCAACAATCCACATTAAACACAACCGAACTAAAGTTCTGCCCGTTCTTGATCTAAAGCAGGACTAAAGCAGCTCTACAGAATCACTTAACCGTGGTCTGTTACCTCCTTCTCCACAATGGCCTGGTGTTTCTTCAGGATCTTGTCGGCCTCAGAGGTGAAGCCGTTCCTTTGAGCCTCCAGTTCTTTGTCCAGTTTGAGTTGGTGCTCGTCCATCTCGGCCTTCAGCTTGTTCTCCAGACCCATGAGCTGCTTCTGGTGCTGCCTCCTCATGCGCTTGTACCCAGACATCTGCTCCCGGAGAGCGGAGCCCTGCTCGTGCTCCTGGATCTGACGCGTGACCTGCACAAGGGCCAGAGGAACGTTCAACATCAGAGGCTCTATCTGTGTCATGCCTTTTACACATTTACAAGAATTATTTGAGATCATCCGCTTCTGACATTTAACTACACTACAGTACTGTACAGACTGTGACATCACAAGTATAATGTAAAGTGGAAACTTCACCAGAGATGCCGTGCGGATTGTGGCAAAGTGGTCTCTGTTCCTGTAGTAGGCCCTGCGGCGGCCAGCAGAGGGCGCCTGCACCTGCTCCATCTCCGGCTGGTATGGGTCGTCATAGATGTTGTCCTGGTTCTGAGGAAAGAACTAGTTTAGAACATGTGTAACTGACATCACCCTTCTGCTGAGGGCCACAAGGACCTGGAGTCACACAAGGACCTGAGCCAAGGTGGATGGTGCTTGTAAAGTTCAAAACTCACCATGGGCTGGAGGATGTGTGTAAAGTGCTAGCATCACCATAGGTCTTTGTGTAAAGTGCTACACTCATCATAGGTCTGTGCATAAAGTGCTGGACTCACCGTAGGCCTGTGTGTAAAGCGCTGGCCTCAGTGTATGCCTGTGTAAAGTGCTAGCCTCACCGTATGCCTGTGCAAAGTGCTAGCCTCACCGTATGCCTGTGCAAAGTGCTAGCCTCACCGTATGCCTGTGCAAAGTGCTAGCCTCACCGTATGCCTGTGCAAAGTGCTAGCCTCACCGTATGCCTGTGTAAAGTGCTAGCCTCACCGTATGCCTGTGCAAAGTGCTAGCCTCACCGTATGCCTGTGTAAAGTGCTAGCCTCACCGTATGCCTGTGTAAAGTGCTAGCCTCACCGTATGCCTGTGTAAAAAGCTAGCCTCACCGTATGCCTGTGTAAAGTGCTAGCCTCACCGTGGGCCGGTGGATAATGGAGCTGTTGGAGGCCACCGTGTGCTCGCCCTCCTGCATCATGGCCATCTCTCCCTCGCTGTCGTCCGAAGCGTCGGCGAGGGAGTTTACGGAGCTGCTTTGTGAACTGGCCGAGATCGACATACTGGGAACAGACTGGGAGCTCTCCATGGAGTTCACGGTCCCAGAACGCATGAGGTACTGCGCCTCCTCCTGGACATGAGGAGAAATGCACATCATAACACTATAACAGCGCCTCCTTCTGGACACGAGGAGAAATGCACATCACATCACTATAACTGCTCCTCATCCTCTCCCTCTGGGCCTGATCTGTAAGCTCTATTGTAGACATTAGGCTCTAACCTCCTCCTCCCTCTGGCCCCAGTCAGTTGTAGGCTCTTACCTCCTCCTCTCCTCCCTCTGGGCTTTCTTGTGGACATTAGGCTCTTGACTCCTCCTCCTCTCCTCCCTCTGGCCCTGGTCTCATGTATACATTAGGCTCTTGACTCCTCCTCCTCTCCTCCCTCTGGCCCTGGTCTCATGTATACATTAGGCTCTTGACTCCTCCTCCTCTCCTCCCTCTGGCCCCATGTATACATTAGGCTCTTGACTCCTCCTCCTCTCCTCCCTCTGGCCCCATGTATACATTAGGCTCTTGACTCCTCCTCCTCTCCTCCCTCTGGCCCTGGTCTCATGTATACATTAGGCTCTTGACTCCTCCTCCTCTCCTCCCTCTGGCCCTGGTCTCATGTATACATTAGGCTCTAGACTCCTCCTCCTCTCCTCCCTCTGGCCCTGGTCTCATGTATACATTAGGCTCTTGACTCCTCCTCCTCTCCTCCCTCTGGCCCTGGTCTCATGTATACATTAGGCTCTTGACTCCTCCCCTCCCTCTGGCCCTGGTCTCATGTATACATTAGGCTCTAGACTCCTCCTCCTCTCCTCCCTCTGGCCCTGGTCTCATGTATACATTAGGCTCTTGACTCCTCCTCCTCTCCTCCCTCTGGCCCTGGTCTCATGTATACATTAGGCTCTTGACTCCTCCTCCTCTCCTCCCTCTGGCCCTGGTCTCATGTATACATTAGGCTCTTGACTCCTCCTACCCTCACTCTGGCCCTGGTCTGTAGGCACTTACCTCCTCCTCGTCTCCTCCCTCTGGGCCTGGTCCGTTGGCCTGCGTCTCCTGAAAGAGAATCTTCTTCATCTTTCGGTACTGCAGGTTGTCGAGTTCTCGCACAGCGTCTTTGGTGCGAGCGATGAGGTCCATGACCACAGTGATCGGGCGCTCACGGGACAGGAAGCGGTGCTGAGGACCAAACTCAGGTCAGACCAGACACTGCATCCAAGTGGACAATGCTAACCTGCTAGCTCAATGAAGCCCAATAAGGAAGCGCTCATGGTGAAGTTTGGCTCCAACTCTCTCTGCCTCTAATTTACTTGCATGTAGTCCTCAGAAATCTCACGGTAATACTATACTCAGACTTGAATCTTAACAGCCACATCAAATCAGTAACATCAGCAGCTTTTTACCACTTAAACAGCTCAGGTCCTGACTAGAACCAGAAAGTACGATAACATTAGTCCTGGTCTCAGGTCTCTGCTTCCTCGCTCAGAGAATAGACTTTAAAACAGCTCTGCTTGTTAAAAGTCTCTCCATGGCCTCGCACCAAAATATATTAGTGACATGTTAGTCCCATATGAACCAGCCCGGACTCTGAGGAGCACAGGGACTGGACTCCTGCTGGGACTCTGAGGAGCACAGGGACTGGACTCCTGCTGGGACTCTGAGGAGCACAGGGACTGGACTCCTGCTGGGACACTGAGGAGCACAGGGACTGGACTCCTGCTGGGACACTGAGGAGCACAGGGACTGGACTCCTGCTGGGACACTGAGGAGCACAGGGACTGGACTCCTGCTGGGACACTGAGGAGCACAGGGACTGGACTCCTGCTGGGACACTGAGGAGCACAGGGACTGGACTCCTGCTGGGACACTGAGGAGCACAGGGACTGGACTCCTGCTGGGACACTGAGGAGCACAGGGACTGGACTCCTGCTGGGACACTGAGGAGCACAGGGACTGGACTCCTGCTGGGACACTGAGGAGCACAGGGACTGGACTCCTGCTGGGACACTGAGGAGCACAGGGACTGGACTCCTGCTGGGACACTGAGGAGCACAGGGACTGGACTCCTGCTGGGACACTGAGGAGCACAGGGACTGGACTCCTGCTGGGACACTGAGGAGCACAGGGACTGGACTCCTGCTGGGACACTGAGGAGCACAGGGACTGGACTCCTGTTAGTGCCCAGAGTCAGAACTAAACATGGGGAGGCTGCTTTTCAGATTCATGCTGCTAAAATCTGGAACAATCTTGTGAGACAGACTTCTTCATTGACAATGTTTAAAACCAGGTTACAAACAGTTCTGTTTAGCTGTGCATACAACTGAGGGATTTAATATTTGTATTTCTATTCTTAATGTTCTTAATCTGCGATTATACTTAAACTTGCCTTTCCTTGCTTAGTTCAGTAACTGTGTCACACTCACCATTTTGGGTCAAATGCTAAGGACACATTGCTCTAGGGAGGTACATAAAGTACCATTTGAGCCTGGGATGACAAAAACCCTTTGCTGCGACTGGCCTGGGTCCTGGCTAGGGCTGGGCGATATATTGTGATATAGTTTTCAGCCATATCACAATATAAGTAATTCATATCGGTCGATAACGATATATATTGATTGTTTTTTATTTATTTAAAAAAAAGTAAATAAATACATTTGTCGTGTCGGCTAACACATGTTAGCAGCCTCGTTTACAGTCACGGGGGACTGAGGCTGGAGCCAAATGTTTACAAGCAGTCTCCCCCATACGCCCATAGTTAGTCCTGGTTTAGCTCCTGGTTTAGCTCCTGGTTTAGCTCCTGGTTTAGCTCCTGGTTTAGCTCCTGGTTTAGCTCCTGTTTTGGCTGTTTGAGTGTCTTGTGTGCCCGTTAGGGCTCCGGAAAGTTAATCTCTTGCTTTTGCCGAATGCATGGAGTCTCTGTACCCACTGCCTCCCGCCGCACATGCTGTTCCTCGCACGGACGTGCATAACTATTGACACGGCTCTGAAACACGATCTTTAGATCCATGGTTATTAAAATAGATCCATGATCCATGGACGCTACGCATGGTGCGGTTGTTTTTGCATTTCCCAGAAAGTTTTGCGGTTTGTAGTCGGCTGTGATTGGTCGAGAAGTCTCTGCCTACATCCCCCAGAATGCCATGCGCTTCTGACTTGGCTTTACTTCTTGTGTTTTGTTCCTGTTATTTCGAACGGAGTGAAGTGAAACTATCTAAAGTTCTATCGACCCTGTTTTCTATTGATATCAAACACGTGTCTATCGCATTATATATCGATATAGTTTTATCGCCCAGCCCTAGTCCTGGCCACTTATCTCAGTGGGATCTGCATAATAGAAAACCCGGGACCCTTCACTCATGAATAAGTAGTAAGTAATCTTTATTTATATACCGCCTTTCACAGACCAGAGTCACAAAGCGGTTTACAATTGTTATTTTTGGACATTTGTCTCTCACTCCACACAGAGATAAAAAGCTTTCAAAAATCTGGAGACACTAGATTATTTTGTTTCAATATTAGAGCCAGTCTCTGCAACACAAAGTCATAGTAGTGCTAAAAGCAGCGGTCAGATCTGGCAACGGTTCTTTTTTGGGGAAATTCGGAGAATGCTTTTATCAAAACCAAATTACATTTATAAAGATGGACGGCAGCGTTCATTCTGATAAAAACACTCACATTCAGCAGCACGTCAGAGGTAGGACGGTCCTGTGGAATCTTCTGAAGACATGAGTCCACGAAGTTACGGAACGAGTCCGACCTAAAGCCAAAGCCACGATTACATGTGTTCAGAACATGTGCAAATGCTCATGTAGGTCTTCCAAACATGTCCAGGCTGCTCAAGGATGCAAAAACATGACATCCTTGATCTGTCAGTTTCCTTCAGTGTGTCTCTATGTGTGCGTCTGCCTCCCTCTAGTGGTTGGACTGCAGCACTGGGCTCTGGGTGTGCTTGTTTTAGTGTGTGTGTTCTTATTATAGTGTGTGTATGTGCTCATTTGTTTTAGTGTGTGTGAGTCTGTGTGTGCTTGTTTGCTTTAGTGCGTGTGTCTCACCAGTGGTTGGACTGCAGCACTGGTGTGTGTGTGTGTCTCACCAGTGGTTGGACTGCAGCACTGGGCTGTGTGTGTGTGTGTGTGTCTGTGTGTGCTTGTTTGTTTTAGTGTGTGTGTGTCTCACCAGTGGTTGGACTGCAGCACTGGGCTCTCGTTCTGGGCGATGTGATATAAGGCACTCATTGCGTTCATGTTGAAGAGGGGGGGCTTCCTCTCGGCTGTGGACCAAGCAATTCAAATGTTTGTGCAGTAATGTTATGTTAAGATACAACCCCCAATGCAGAGTCACAACACTTCAAACTATTCAGGTACTAACCAGAAAGGCCGATACTTTTTAAATTTAGAATCCTTGAATCTGATAGTCAACAAACTCTAATATAAATGTTTTAAATATGAGTTTGTACCGAGTTCGATGGAGGTGATGCCCAGAGACCACACGTCCACTTTCCCATCGTACTGACCCTCGTCCATGGCCAGGATCACCTCCGGAGCCATCCTGCAGGAAGAGGTGTGTTAGACCTCACTTTACACCTGTGTTAGACCTCACTTTACATGTGTGTTACGGACCTCACATTACACCTGTGTTAGACTTCACTTTACACCTGTGTCAAGGACCTCACATTACACCTCTGTCAAGGACCTCACGTTACACCTCTGTCAAGGACCTCACATTACACCTCTGTCAAGGACCTCACATTACACCTCTGTCACGGACCTCACATTACACCTGTGTCAAGGACCTCACATTACACCTGTGTCAAGGACCTCACATTACACCTGTGTCAAGGACCTCACATTACACCTGTGTCAAGGACCTCACATTACACCTGTGTCACGGACCTCACATTACACCTGTGTCACGGACCTCACATTACACCTGTGTCACGGACCTCACATTACACCTGTGTTACGGACCTCACATTACACCTGTGTCCAGGACCTCACATTACACCTGTGTCCAGGACCTCACATTACACCTGTGTCCAGGACCTCACATTACACCTGTGTCCAGGACCTCACATTACACCTGTGTCCAGGACCTCACATTACACCTGTGTCCAGGACCTCACATTACACCTGTGTCCAGGACCTCACATAACACCTCTGTCAAGGACCTCACATTACACCTGTGTCAAGGACCTCACATTACACCTGTGTCCAGGACCTCACATTACACCTGTGTCCAGGACCTCACATTACACCTCTGTCAAGGACCTCACATTACACCTGTGTTACGGACCTCACATTACACCTGTGTCACTCACATTACACCTGTGTCCAGGACCTCACATTACACCTGTGTCAAGGACCTCACATTACACCTGTGTCAAGGACCTCATATTACACCTCTGTTAAGGACCTCACATTATACCTGTGTCAAGGACCTCACATTATACCTGTGTCAAGGACCTCACATTACACCTCTGTTAAGGACCTCACATTACACCTGTGTCAAGGACCTCATATTACACCTCTGTTAAGGACCTCACATTATACCTGTGTCAAAGACCTCACATTACACCTCTGTTGAGGACCTCACATTACACAGTGTTCCTGAGATTATTCCCATGTACGCAGTAGCACTCACTCACCAGTAGGGGGTGCCCACAAAGGAGTTGGCTGGAGCCACGATGGAGGCCGATCCGAAGTCTCCCAGTTTGACCTGTCCTGGCTCAGTCAGGAGGATGTTCCCTGCCTTCACGTCCCTGAGACAGAAGCATAGTACAGGTGTTCATGTTGTAGAGCTGTTTTTCAGCAGAAGCCAATACAACTCCAAGAGAAAGGCAACATTTGGGAAATAAACAACCGGTTCTCCCAGATCAATATTTGACAGTGGTTAGATTAGACACTTTTCAAGAAAGAATTGGAAAATATTTTATTTATAAATCTACAAAGCATTTCTTCATAGAGCAGAGCAACAAATAACAAATCTACATTTACAGGCGGCAAGAACACGTCATATGTAGGTTTCCTGACCCGTGCTCACATTTTGCGCGTTTGCCAAAAACAGTGAAACACACGTCTATGGCTTCAAGGGAAGTAGGATCTAATTCAAGCAAGAACTTTGAGAAAATAGATTTTACTTCTCAAAACTTGAGCAATAAGCAACACAAGCAGAGAAAATATAACACATCAATAACACAAGCTGCGGCTGCAAACAGCAAGAGGGAGGGGGCGGGGGAGAGGTCTGTGGAGCAGTCTGTGGAGCAGCGAACGGGAGACTTTTGAATGTGAATAATAAAACTGTTTAGAGGCAAACTATTCAGAAACTGGATGGGGCTAAAAACAACAGCAGGTCTGTGTCTGCATGAGTGTTTCTATCAGTGGGAGAAACACATGTCACACGTGTGTAAGGGGTCTGTGTTCACCTGTGGATCATGTTGTGGGAGTGTAGGTAGGCCAGGCCCAGCAGTGCACCATGGGTAATGGCAGCGATCTCCACTTCCTGGAGCGGCTTCTTATGCACTGGACACAGAAGACACACACAGTCCACACACTGCTCTGGTTTAATGTCATGCAGAAGTCAGATTCACACACTGACCTTCCAGCAGATCAGAGGCAGAGCCCAGGCAGTACTCCATCACCAGCTGAAACACAGACGTCAGGGAGAGGGGACCGTCAGAACCAGAGGGAGAGAGAGAGACAAAAGAGACAGAGACCAGAGAGAAAGAGAGACCAGAGAGAGACTCCAGAAACTAAATAAACAGAGACCAGGGAGACCAGAGTGAGAAAGAGACCAGAGAGACACACACCAGAGAGCGAGAGACCAGAGAGAGAAAGAAACCAGAGAGAGAGTCCAGAGACAAAAGAGACAGAGACCAGAGAGAGAGGGAGAGCGAGAGAGACCAGAGAGAGAAAGATCAGACAGAGAGAGAGAGAGAGACTAGAGTGAGAAAGAGACCAGAGAGACACACACGAGAGAGCGAGAGACCAGAGAGAGACTCCAGAGACAGACCAGCGAGAGACCAGAGAGCGATCAGAGAGAGACCAGAGAGAGAGACCAGAGAGAGCGATCAGAGAGAGACCAGAGAGAGAGACCAGAGAGAGCGATCAGAGAGAGACCAGAGAGAGAGACCAGAGAGAGAGACCAGAGAGAGATACCAGAGAGAAAGAAAGACCTGAGAAAAGAGGCCAAAGTGACAGAGAGACCAGAGAGAGTGACCAGAGAGAGATCAGAGAGAGAGACCAGAGAGAGTGACCAGAAAGAGAGACCAGAGAGAGTGACCAGAGAGAGAGACCAGAGAGAGTGACCAGAGAGAGAGACCAGAGAGAGTGACCAGAGAGAGACCAGAGAGAGAGACCAGAGAGAGTGACCAGAGAGTGTGACCAGAGAGAGAGACCAGAGAGAGAGACCAGAGAGAGAGACCAGAGAGAGAGACCAGAGAGAGCGACCAGAGCGACCAGAGAGAGACCAGTGAGAGACCAGTGAGAGACCAGAGAGAGTGACCAGAAAGAGAGACCAGAGAGAGTGACCAGAGAGAGAGACCAGAGAGAGTGACCAGAGAGAGACCAGAGAGAGAGACCAGAGAGAGTGACCAGAGAGAGAGACCAGAGAGTGTGACCAGAGAGAGAGACCAGAGAGAGAGACCAGAGAGAGCGACCAGAGAGAGCGACCAGAGAGAGCGACCAGAGCGACCAGAGAGAGACCAGTGAGAGACCAGTGAGAGACCAGAGAGAGACCAGTGAGAGACCAGAGAGAGAGCAGAGAGAGAGCAGAGAGAGAGCAGAGAGAGAGACCAGAGAGAGCGATCAGAGAGACCAGAGAGAGACGAGAGAGACCAGAGAGAGACCAGTGAGAGACCAGAGAGAGAGCAGAGAGAGACCAGAGAGAGAGACCAGAGAGAGAGACCAGAGAGAGCGATCAGAGGGAATCACATAATGCACTACAGTAAGTTCCTCAGCCACGTGGAGCAATACAGACACATTTCAACATATATTTAACAAAAAACAAATGTATGAAGGAAAGAGCAGCGTATTCAACTGCCCTAACTCTGATGGTGAGAGGCACATATCCCACTTTGGACTCACCCAGGCCGTGTGCTCTCGGAGGTAGCAGCCACGGTACTCGATGGTGTTGGGGTGACGGAGCTTCTGTAGAAACTTCACCTCTTTGATGATGTCCTGCCATTTCTGCAACAGAGGAACCAGAGCTGTCGAAGTGTGTGTGACTGGTCAGACTGGGCCTCAAGACTACCCGACTTGAGACTCACTGCTCCTCATCAGTCACAGACCTGCAGATGTGTTTAGATCAATCCATGCTAATATCAGGAATTTCTGGCACAAACATGTAGCACCACCCTCATGTAAAATCCCTCGTCTCAGTCCTTGTGCAAAACATAAGTATTACACATGCATGAATTCGGTAATTTATGAATCTCACTGGTCTCCCTCTCTCTCTCTCTGGTCTCTCTCTCTCTCTGGTCTCTCTCTCTGGTCTCTCTCTCTCTGGTCTCTCTCTCTGGTCTCTCTCTCTCTGGTCTCTCTCTCTCTGGTCTCTCTCTCTCTGGTCTCTCTCTCTGGTCTCTCTCTCTGGTCTCTCTCTCTGGTCTCTCTCTCTGGTCTCTCTCTCTGGTCTCTCTCTCTGGTCTCTCTCTCTGGTCTCTCTCTCTGGTCTCTCTCTCTGGTCTCTCTCTCTGGTCTCTCTCGCCTGTAGTTCAGCAGTTTTGTAAAGAAAATCGAACTGTAAATATTCATTATAAATATAAAAGCGTTCTCATGTCCCCGGATGAAAGATCGACTGTCTCTTTAGTCGCCTTCCAGCCCCACTCAACACAGCCAGCATTATCAGATTTAAGGTGCACCGATATTATCCACAGTTTGCAGACTGATGTGTGAGAGATTCCCAAACTGTGGTGCGCACCTCGTTGGTCTGTTTGCCGCTGAACGACATCTTCTTGATGGCCACCACCTCATTACTGTGCACGTCCCGGGCCTAGAACACAACACAGTGTTAGAACCAGTGCTTTTATATACCAGACCTGAGGAGAGCCACACTTCACAGATCATCTTCATGTCGGAAAACCGGAGTACGTACGAAGTAGACGGCTCCGAAGCTGCCGTGGCCGATCTCCCGCAGGTCGGCGAACAGCTTCTCCGGGTCATCCTTACAGAACAGGTCAGCCACATCTGGGTCCTTCAGGCTCCCGGCCCGGGCATTCGAGGGCATGGCCAGGGCCTGAGGCAGAAGGGGAAAGGGGGACAGGGTTAGAAAAAAACGTTAATTTAGTCCCTCGTACAAGAGCTTGAGATGGTTGACTTCCTGATTATTCCGGCAGATAGGGCGGGGGTTCCTCAGAGTGGGTTCTGTACATTTCTTGTGGAGTTCTGAGTTTCTATTTTGGTCTTTGTTTATGAAAGTGGCCTGAACAGAATAATGTGTTCACCTGAGTGGAAATGCACTGACCCACTTCTACTGAGACGGAAGCAGCGAGAAAGAGGACTAAGGCAGGGACTAACGCAGGGACTAACGCAGGGACTAACGCAGGGACTAACGCAGGGACTAACGCAGGGACTAGAGCAGAACACAACCAAGTCTAGGTCTCAACCAGGCCTAGAGCAGGTCTGAACCAGGCCTAGAGCAGGTCTGAACCGGGTCTAAGAGAATGGATCACAGACTGAGTTATGTCAAAACCACGAAGGGAGTCATGAAACACACACAGTTTGATCAGTGCATTTTAAACATTCTACATTCTGTCCCAGGTCACATTTAAATAAAACTGTCCTGAGAGATGTATTTATATCGAGTCCACACTCATCAGAACACTATCCGACTCCCACCAGAGTGGAAACAAAGGCAGATGAGATTAAAGCCGCAAGCGGCGTCGAACGGCCCTCGCCGCACCGCGCGCACCCCCCCGTTCCACGCCGCCCTGCACCAAGCCACCCCGCACCAAGCCACCCCGCACCGCTCCACAACGCCCCGCACTACGCCGCACCACACCGTACCACGCAGCACCGCGCACCGCTCAAGGAGGTGGCGCCGCCGAGTGATGATTGGTTCCCGTAGCCATAGAAGAACTTAGTCAAATTGTAATGAATATGATAAGTAGAGCTGGTTTGGCTCCCCATGTAAACTTTGACTCAGTCTTTAGGGGGCGCTAATGGGCCAATTTCAAATATTTCACTTTCACCTGACCTAAACCCTGGAGTTGAACAATGGATTCAAGTTTAATGCAAATCAGACTTTGTTTGTGCAAACGGGGAAAAAAATTAATGTTGTCAAAAACGGCCAAAAAAAACCTCACATTTTGCCGCTCCGCTGCTCAAACAACGTTTCACTGATCAAAATTCCCTGAGGTCATTTTGAAGGTACATGTGTTGAGATAATTTGGAGCAATTTTCAGGCCAATCGGTGAAACGGCCGAGGAGGAGTCGCTTTCCAACCGACATGTATGAAAATGATTGGTTTTCATTTTTCCATTTAGCAATGAAATTTATGGGCTTCCTGTTTGTCAGAGGGATTAGCCATAATAACATTTTTTCCATGTCTTGACTTGAGGAACATGTGTACCAAATTACATGGTTCTACGACAATTTTCACCTCAAACCCCTCCCATAGGCATTTTTAAATTGGCTGTTGTAGGTGGCGCTATAGAGCCAATTTCAAAATTTTAACTTTCAAATGACCTAGACCCAAGAGTTGAACCATGGATTCAAGTTTTGTGCAAATCAGACTTTGTTTGTGCAAACGGAAGCAATTTTTCTATTGTCAAAAACTGAAAAAAAAATACGCCACTTTTTGGCGCTCGCTGCTCAAACAACGTTTCACTGATCAAAATTCCCTGAAGTCATTTTGATGGTACATGTGTTGAGATGATGTGGAGCGATTTTGAGGCGAATCGGTGAAACGGCCGAGGCTGGTTTGATGTTTGTGTGAGGTGTACATTTGCAATGAATGGGGAGCGTTTGTCGTCGCCACGGCAACAGGGTAAAAAATAAGCCTTGGACCCTATTGACTTTTTGAATCAAGAGGGCAAAACAGATGTATGTGCAAAATTTCAAACATTTTGAAAAAACTAAATTTGAAAATGCCCATCTAAAACTTTGAAATAGTCTGTAGGGGGCGCTAATGTGTCAATTTGAATTAATTCACTTTCAAATGACCTAGACCCTAGAGTTGAACAATGTATTAAAGTTTTGTGCAAATCAGACTTTGTTTGTGCAAACGGGAGCAAATTTAATGTTGTCAAAAACGGCCAAAAAAAGGTCACATTTTGCCGCTCCGCTGCTCGAACAATGTTTCACTGATCAAAAATCCCTGAGGTCATTTTGAAGGTACATGTGTTGAGATGATGTGGAGCGATTTTGAGGCGAATCGGTGAAACGGCCGAGGAGGAGTCGCTTTCCAACCGACATGTATGAAAACTTTTGCTGTTCATTTTTCCATTTTGCAGTGAAATTTATGGGCTTCCTGTTTGTCAGAGGGCGGGGCCATAATAATATTTTTTTCTTGTCTTGACTTGAGGAACATGTGTACCAAATTTCATGTTTCTACGACAAACTTGACCTCCGAAAAGTCCCATAGGGGTATTATTTTGGCTGTTGTAGGTGGCGCTGTTCTGTCATTTTTTGAGTCCCATAAAAATAAACACCAAAATATCAAATTTTTCGCCAGGTCTGATTTTTGGGCCAAAATTAACAACTTTTCATGCATGTTCAGGGGGTCAAATTAAGGCTCAAAGTGCAGAAGAAAAAAGAAAGAAAGAAAGAAAGAAATAAATTAAAGCCGCAAGCGGCGTCGAACGGCCCTCGCCACACCGCGCGACACCCCGCACCACGCGCCTTGCCGCTCCGCTACGACTCCCCGCTCCGCTACGACTCCCCGCTCCGCTACGACTCCCCGCTCCGCTACGACTCCCCGCTCCGCTACGACTCCCCGCTCCGCTACGACTCCCCGCTCCGCTACGACTCCCCGCTCCGCTACGACTCCCCACTCCGCTACGACTCCCTGCACCGCGCTCCGCTACGACTCCCCGCACTGCGCACCGCTACAACTCCCCGCACCGCTACGACTCCCCGCACCGCTACGACTCCCCGCACCGCTACGACTCCCTGCACCGCGCGCCACTACGACTCCCCGCTCCGCTACGACTCCCTGCACCGCGCGCTTCTATGACTCTCCGTTCCGCTACGACTCCCCGCACCGCTACGACTCTCCGCAGCGCTACGACTCCCCGCAGCACTACGACTCCCCGCACCGCTACGATTCCCCGTACCGCGCAACTCACTGCAACTCGCCGCAACCCGCAATTCCCCTCCCCGTGACTCCCCGCGTGACTCGCCGCTCCGCAGGTGGCGCCGCCGCGCCGCGCCATGATTTGCTACCATAGCCATAGACCAATGTATGTGATATTGATCCGTTGGTTTGGCTCCCCATGTAAAGCTTTAGCTCGGTATGTAGGGGGCGCTAAAGAGCCAATGTAATATTTTACACCTTCAGGTGACCCAGGCCCAGGAGTAGAACAACCGGGTCAAGTTTAGTACAAATCAAACTTTGTTTGTGCAAACGAGAGCTATTTTGTTATCGTCAAAAAAGGTCACTATTTGCCGCTCCACTGCTCGAACATCGTTTCCCTGATAAAAATTCCCTGAAGTCATTTTGAAAGTAAATGTGTTGAAATGATGTGGAGAAATTTTCAGGCGAATCTGTGAAACGGCCGAGGAGGAGTCGCTTCCCAAACGACATGTGTGAAAATTATTGCTGTTCGTTTATCCATTTTACAGTGAAATTTATGGGCTCCCTGTCTGTCAGAGGGCGGGGCCATAATAACATTTTTTTCATGTCTTACCTTGAGGAATATGTGTACCAAATTTCATGGCTCTACGGCAAACTTGAACTCCAAAACTCTCATAGGAGTATTAAATTGGCTGTTGTAGGGGGCGCTGTTCTGGCATTTTAATTATTTCACTTTCAAATGACCTACACCCTAGAGTTTAACCATGAAAACAATTTTTGTGCAAATCGGACTTTGTTTGAGTAAACGGAAGTAATTTTTCTATAGTCAAAAACTAAAAAAAAAAACGCCACTTTTTGGCGCTTCGCTGCTCAAACAACGTTTCACTGATCAAAAATCGCTGAAATCAAAATGATGGTACATGTGTTTAGACGATGTGGAGCGATTTTAAGGCAAATCAGTGAAAAGGCCGAGGAGGAGTCGCTTTCCAACCAACATGTGTGAAAATGACATTCTGTAGGGGGCGCTAATGCCTCAATTTGATGTTTTACACTTTCAGTTTACCCAAACCCAAAAGTTGAACAACCAATTCAAATTTGGTGCAAATCGGACTTTGTATGTGCAAATGGTGGCTTTATTAGACTACAATTGCGCCCCCTACAACTTCAAATTTGAAGTCTCTTACTAGGGAACACAAAATTAATAAAGTGTTTGCAAGAACAGAACTTGTGGCAAAATTTTGTAAGTTTTCGTGCATGTTCAGTGGGTCAAATATGACATCAAACAACAGCAAACTTGTTCTTTCCCAGGTTTTCCTGGGCTAGAACAAGTATAATTAAAGCCGCAAGCGGCGTCAAACGGCCCTCGCCGCACCGCGCGACTCCCCGCACCGCGCGCACCACCCCGTTCCACGCCGCCCCGCACCAAGCCACCCCGCACCACGCCGTCCCGCATCACGCCGCCCCGCACCAAGCCGCCCCGCACCAAGCCGCCCCGCACCAAGCCGCCCCGCACCAAGCCGCAACGCACCGCTCCACAACGCCCCGCACTACGCCGCACCACACCGTACCACGTAGCACCGCGCATAGGATGTGGCGCCGCCGTGTGATGATTGGTTCCCGTAGCCATAGAAGAACTTAGTCAAATTGTAATGAATATGATTATTAGAGCTGGTTTGGCTCCCCATGTAAACTTTGAATCAGTCTGTAGGGGGCGCTAATGGGCTAATTTCAAATATTTCACTTTCACCTGACCTAAACCCTGGAGTTGAACAATGGATTCAAGTTTAATGCAAATCAGTCTTTGTTTGTGCAAACGGGGAAAAAATTTATGTTGTCAAAAACAGCCAAAAAACCCTCACATTTTGCCGTTCCGCTTCTCAAACAACGTTTGACTGATTAAAATTCCCTGAAGTAATTATGAAGGTAAATGTGTTGAGATGATTTGGAACAATTTTGAGGCCAATCGGTGAAACGGCCGAGGAGGAGTCGCTTTCCAACCAACGTTTATGAAAATGATTGGTTTTCATGTTTCCATTTTGAATGAAATTTATGGGCTTCCTGTTTGTCAGGGGGCTTAGCCATAATAACATTTTTCCCATGTCTTGACTTAAGGAACATGTGTTCCAAATTACATGGTTCTACGACAATTTTGACCTCAAACCCCTCCCATAGGCATTTTTAATATGGCTGTTGTAGGTGGCGCTATAGAGCCAATTTCAGAATTTTAACTTTCAAATGACCTAGACCCAAGAGTTGAACCATGGATTCAAGTTTTGTGCAAATCAGACTTTGTTTGTGCAAACGGAAGCAATTTTTCTATGGTCAAAAACTGAAAAAAAATACGCCACTTTTTGGCGCTCCGCTGCTCAAACAACGTTTCACTGATCAAAATTCCCTGAAGTCATTTTGATGGTACATGTGTTGAGATGATGTGGAGCGATTTTGAGGCGAATCGGTGAAACGGCCGAGGCTGGTTTGATGTTTGTGTGAGGTGTATATTTGCAATGAATGGGGAGCGTTTGTCGTCGCCACGGCAACAGGGTAAAAAATAAGCCTTGGACCCAATTGACTTTTTGAATCAAGAGGGCAAAACAGATGTATGTGCAAAATTTCAAACATTTTGAAAAAACTAAATTTGAAAATGCCCATTTAAAACTTTGAAATAGTCTGTAGGGGGCGCTAATGTGTCAATTTGAATCATTTAACTTTCAAATGACCTAGACCCTAGAGTTGAACAATGTATTAAAGTTTTGTGAAAATCAGACTTTGTTTGTGCAAACGGGAGCAAATTTAATGTTGTCAAAAACGGCCAAAAAAAGGTCACATTTTGCCGCTCCGCTGCTCGAACAATGTTTCACTGATCAAAAATCCCCGAGGTCATTTTGAAGGTACATGTGTTGAGATGATGTGGAGCGATTTTGAGGCGAATCGGTGAAACGGCCGAGGAGGAGTCGCTTTCCAACCGACATGTATGAAAACTTTTGCTGTTCATTTTTCCATTTTGCAGTGACATTTATGGGCTTCCTGTTTGTCAGAGGGCGGAGCCATAATAATATTTTTTTCTTGTCTTGACTTGAGGAACATGTGTACCGAATTTCATGACTCTACAACAAACTTCATCTTCAGAACTCCCATAGGGGTATTATTTTGGCTGTTGTAGGTGGCGCTGTTCTGGCATTTTTTGAGTCCCATTAAAATAAACACCAAAATATCAAATTTTTCGCCAGGTCTGATTTTTGGGCAAAATTTAACAACTTTTCATGCATATTCAGGGGGTCAAATTAAGGCTCAAAGTGCAGAAGAAAAAAGAAAGAAAGAAAGAAAGAAAGAAAGAAATTAAAGCCGCAAGCGGCGTCGAACGGCCCTCGCCGCACCGCGCGACTCCCCGCACCCTGCGCACCCACCTGGTCCAAGCCGCCCCGCACCAAGCCGCCCCGCACCAAGCCGCCCCGCACCAAGCCGCCCCGCACCAAGCCACCCCGCACCACGCCGCCCTGCACCACGCTGTCCTGCCTTACGCCGCCCCGCACCAAGCCGCAATGCGCCGCTCCACAACGCCCCGCACTACGCCGCACCACACCGTACCACGCAGCACCGCTCAAAGGAGGTGGCGCCGTTGTGTGATGATTTGTTCCCGTAGCCATAGAAGATTGTTAGTCAAATTGTAATGAATATAATAAGTAGAGCTGGTTTGGCTCCCCATGTAAACTTTGACTCAGTCTTTAGGGGGCGCTAATGGGCCAATTTCAATATTTCACTTTCACCTGACCTAAACCCTGGAGTTGAACAATGGATTCAAGTTTAATGCAAATCAGTCTTTGTTTGTGCAAACGGGGAAAAAATGTATGTTGTCAAAAACGGCCAAAAAAACCCTCACATTTTGCCGCTCCGCTGCTCAAACAACGTTTCACTGATCAAAAATCCCTGAAGTCATTTTGAAGGTACACGTGTTGAGATAATTTGGAGCAATTTTGAGGCCAATCGGTGAAATGGCCGAGGAGCAGTCGCTTTCCAAGCGACATGTATGAAAATGATTGGTTTTCATTTTTCCATTTTGCAATGAAATTTATGAGCTTCCTGTTTGTCAGAGGGATTAGCCATAATACAACATTTTTTCCATGTCTTGACTTGAGGAACATGTGTACCAAATTACATGGTTCTACGACAATTTTGACCTCGAACCCATCCCATAGGCATTTTTAAATTGGCTGTTGTAGGTGGCGCTATAGAGCCAATTTCAAAATTTAAACTTTCAAATGACCTAGATCAAGAGAGAGTTGAACATGGATTCAAGTTTTGTGCCAATCACACTTTGTTTGTGCAAACGGAAGCAATTTTCTATTGACAAAAACTGAAAAAAAACATTACGCCACTTTTTGGCGCTTGCTGCTCAAACAACGTTTTCACTGATCAAAAATCCCTGAGGTCATTTTGATGGTACATGTGTTGAGATGATGTGGAGCGATTTTGAGGCGAATCGGTGAAACGGCCGAGGAGGAGTCGCTTTACAACCGACATGTATGAAAACTTTTGCTGTTCATTTTTCCATTTTGCAGTGAGATTTATGGGCTCCTGTTTGTCAGAGGGCGGGCCATAATAATATTTTTTTCTTGTCTTGACTTGAGGAACATGTGTACCAAATCTCATGTTTCTACGACAAACTTGACCTCCGGAAGTCCCATAGGGGTATTATTTTGGCTGTTGTAGGTGGCGCTGTTCTGTCATTTTTTGAGTCCATAAAAATAAACACCAAAATATCAATTTTTCGCCAGGTTCTGATTTTTGGGCCAAAATTAACAACTTTTCTTGCTGTTCAGGGGGTTCAAATTAAGGCTCAAAGTGCAGAAGAAAAAAGAAAGAAAGAAAGAAAATTAACTTCGCAAGCGGGTGCGAACGGCCCTCGCCGCACGCGCGGACTCCCTTCACCGCGCGCACTCCCGCTCACGCCGCCCTGCACACGCCGTCCAGCACCACGCCGTCCCGCACCACGCCGTCCCGCACCACGCCCGTTCCCGCACCACGCCGTCCCGTACCCAAGCCGCACGCGCGCTCCACAACGCCCGCACTACGCCGCACTCACCACCGTACACGCAGCACCGCTAAAAGGACTGGTGAGCACGCCGTGTGATGATTTGTTTCCGTAGCCATTGAAGAATGTTAGTCAAATTGTAATGACTAGGATAAAGTAGAGCTGGGTTGGCTCCCCATGTAACTTTGACACAGTCTGTAGTGGGGCGCTAAGGGCGATTTCCAATATTTTCACTTTACCTGACCTAACCCCTGGAATTGAGCAATGGATGGAAAGTTTTGTGCAAATCAGGACTTTTGTTTGGTGCCACAGGAGCAAAAATTAATGTTGTCACAAAGCGCCAAAAAAAACCCTTACATTTTGCCGCTCCGCTGCTCACGCGTTTCACGGATCAAACATCTGAAGTCATTTTGAAGGTACATGTGTTGAGATGATGTGGAGCGGTTTTGAGGCGAATCGGTGAAACAGCGAGGCTGGTTTGATGTTTGCTGTGAGGTGTACATTTGCAATGAATGGGGAGCGTTTCTCGTCGCACGGAAACAGGGTAAAAAATAAAACTTGGGACCCATTGACTTTTGAATCAAGAGGGCAAAACCCCGATATTATGTGCAAAAATTTCAAACATTTTGGAACAAACTAATTTGAAAAATGTCCATCTAAAACTTTGAAATAGTCTGTAGGGGGCGCTAATGTGTCAATTTGAAATAATCCACTTTAAAACGACTAGACCCTAGAGTTGAACAATGTATTAATGTTTTTTGGCAAATCAGACTTTGTTTGTGGCAAAAGGGAGCAAATTTCAAATGTTGTCAAAAACGCCAAAAAAAGGTCCACATTTTGCCGCTCCGCTGCGCAAACAATGTGTCACTGATCAAAAATCACTGAGTCATTTTGAAGTAATGTGTTGAGATGATGTGGAGCGATTTTGAGGCGAATCGGTGAAACGGACCGAGGAGGAGTAGCTTTCCAACCGACATCGTATGATACTCTTTGCTGTTCATTTTTCCATTTTGCAGTGAAATTATGGGCTTCCTGTTTGTCAGAGGGCGGAGCCATAATAATATTTTTTTATTGGACTTGCGGAACATGTGTACCCGAATTTCATGACTCGACAACAAATAGCTGTTGTAGGTGGCGCTGTTCTGGCATTTTTTGAGTCCCATAAAAATAAAACACCAAATTATCAAATTTTTCGCCAGGTCTGATTTTTGGGCCAAAATTAACAACTTTTCATGCATGTTCAGTGGGTCAAATTAAGGCTCAAAGTGCAGAAGAAAAGAAGAAAGAAAGAAAGAAAGAAAGAAAGAAGAAATAAAAAAGGAATTTTTTTTTCGACGTCTCGAGCAAAAACAATATAGGTTTCAATGGCACGTGATTACATCATTTTAAAGCTGTTCGAGTTTACGCACGCAACCGTCACGTTTTGGTGAGTGACGGGCGCTGACGCGTCCGTCACGCACGCCACCATTTGCACCACAATAGGGCCTTATTTGTTTTCGAACGGCCCTCGCCGCACCGCGCGATTGTGAAACCACGCACCACGCGCACGGTCCCGCTAGGCCCTTCCCGTACCAAGCCGTTACGCACCGCACCACACCGTACCACGCAAGCTACGCTCGGAGGTGGCGCCGCGTGTGATGATTTGGTTCCCGTAGTTCATAGAAGATTGTTAGTCAAATTTGAATGAATATGATTAAGTAGCAGCTGGTTTGGCTCCCGATGTAAACTTTGGCTCAGTCTTTAGGGGGCGCTAATGGGCCAATTCAAATATTTCACTTTCACCTGACCTAAACCCTGAGTTGAACATTTGGATTCAAGTTTAATGCAAATCAGACTTTGTTTGTGCAAACGGGGAAAAAATTAATGTTGTCAAAAAACGGCCAAAAAAACCCTCACATTTTGCCGCTTCGCTGCTCAAACAACGTTTTCACTGATCAAAAATCCTGAAGTCATTTTGAAGGTAAATGTGTTGAGATGATTTGGAACAAATTTGAGGCCAATCGGTGAAAACGGCCGAGGGAGGAGTCGCTTTCCAACCGACATGTATGGAAAATGATTATTTTCATTTTTCCATTTTGCAGTGAAATTTTATGGGGCTTTCTGTTTGTCAGAGGGCTTAGCCATAATAAAACAAGTTCAATGTCTTGACTGAGGAACATGTCGTTCCAAATTACATGGTTCTATGGACAAATTTTGACTCGAACCCCTCCCATAGGCATTTTTCAATCGGCTGTTGTAGGTGGCGCTATAGAGCCAATTTCAAAATTTTAACTTTCAAATGACCTAGACCCAAGAGTTGAACCATGGATTAAGTTTTGTGCAAATCAGACTTTGTTTGTCCAAACGGACAGCCATTTTTCTATTGTCAAAACTGAAAAAAAAACGCCACATTTTGCCGCTCCGCTGCTCAAACAACGTTTCACTGATCATAAATCCTGAGGTCATTTTGACGGTACATGTGTTGAGAGATGTGGAGCGATTTTGAGGCGAATAGGTGAAACGGCCGAGGCTAGTTTGATGTTTGTGTGACGGTGTACATTTTACTAATGTAGCTAACTCTTGCTGATGTGGCTAACTCTTACTAATGTAGCTAACTCTTGCTGATGTGGCTAACTCTTACTGATGTGGCTAACTCTTACTAATGTAGCTTGCTCAGACTCAGACAGGAAGCTGATCAGTAACTAATTCTTGCTAACGCTGTTTTTTTCAGACCGTGAAACCAAAGTGTTACCTGTGTACAGAGTGTATCCGTCGTCAGTCTGGGGGGAGGGGGGCGTAGCCAAGGGGCGGGGCAAACGCTGGGTGATAGGCAGGGAGGAGTGTCTACACAGGGCGCCTCCTACTGGGGGTTAGGAGCAGTGCAGGTTAAAACACACACAGGAAGAGAGGGGCGGAGCCTTGTCAGCCTATGACCTTTTATGGTGTTGTGACGTCACAGCTCACTTCAGGCTCAAAGCAAAGAGTAGAGATAACAAGAGGAGAAACTCTGTTGCAGTTTTGACAACAGCCACTAGATGGCGGTTTTGCCATGTCACCACCTGTGACATCACAACTGCCCCAAAGTCTCAGAAAGGTCGACATGTACGACTTTTCACACTTGGTCATGTTTACGTACACTGTGGTAGTAGTAGTAATAATAACAGTGATACATTTAGTACCAGTAGTAGTATCAGTCAAGGGCGTAGGTTTGCGTGGGGACCATGGGGACATGTCCCCACCGATATTTGGTGAGGACTAAAAAGTCCCCACCAAAATGACATGTGTCCCGTGACCCGGACGGTCCGGGACACATGTCTTCCGTTTGTGCACACGTCGCGCCTCCTCCTCGCCTCCAGAGCAACAGCAGCAGCAGCAGCACGTGACCCGTTCCGTTCTCTGCAGTGATTGGCTGTCTTCTTCAGCGCCAAACTGAAGCACTGAGCAACTGTTTAATTTTTAAAAGCTTTTTTTTCGTTCCCTGAGCGTTGTAGCACGTGAGTAATCAGAGGAAAGTACTGTAGAACTATTACCATTCAAAGTACTTACGTTATTTCTAATCTGTCAGCGCACTGTTTAATGTTCCGAGGAGCTCACACGGCACAGAGACAGAACAGAACTGGCTCCAATAAAGAAACAGGTTGGTTGAAAGGCTGAAAAAATACTTATTGTGCTTTTACTATCCAAAATGTATAAGTGGGTGTGTTGTGTGAATCAGGATAAACTAGGGATGAAAATATTCCACGGATCCACGATTTACAACCTTTATCTGCTGATAATGTAATTTCTGTGAAATGTGTGACAGCGGGCACTTGCTGTTATTTGCTCTAAGCACATTCAAGCGATGCACTCGAATGTGCACGTCTTGGTGCAGCTGCTGCCGCTTTGTAATGACAGCCGCGGCGCTCAGTGAAAGCACCGCTCTAACATGGTACCGAGCTCGGACCATATGCAGACAGAACCATGTTGCAAGTGCGGGTCTCCCTCGTATCTCCCCCGTTTCTCCCCTGTGTCTCTGACATGTCTCTCCCCTGACTCTTCCCAAAGCGCAACCAGCGCTCCCGAAATTAAAGCTCGGATACATAAATTTTCCATTGCGTTAACGATGCATGCTGGTTGTGCGCAAAACACACCACAACAGGTCATTTAAGTTTTTATTTTGCATACTTGAGAGCCCTGTGAGTCATTACTTGCCTTTTTGGGTTGAGAGTGGAATAAAAAAAAGAAAATATAGAAAAATCCACACTGTTACTTATTGCCAAACTCTTGTTAACTCATTGTATTGAGAAATACTATGTAACTTTTGACATTGGCCAAGTTATATAAATGATTCTGCAGTTCATGTATATGAATGTCTGTTTTTGATTGTCTATACCTTCTTATATAATTTAGAAAAAATGCCACCTCCACAAAAAAAGATAAAAGATATCAGGAGCTTTTTTAACAGTTGGAAAGTAAGTAAGAGAAAGCACAAGTAATAGCAAATTATGAATTGTGATGATTCATCTTCTGTTAACATACATAGGAAACTCAACCAACAAGAGAGAACAATATAGGGAATGTTGAGGTAGAAGCAACAGGCCCTTCAGTGCATCAGGCGAGGTTGGAATTTTGTAGGTATGCATGGGACTATGAATTGTTTTTAGAGATTGATCGTATATGTCAAATAATGTAGTGAGATACTCACTGTAGATTCTAATTCAATATTTTCTCCTCTGTTTTTATTTATTATAGGCAATTGAAAGATCAGAGCATGATTTATTTCAAGTATCGAGAGCAGTTCCTGAACTGTTAGAGCCTCAGGTGAGGGCTATTATGTAGATTTGGATTAGGTTTAAGTCAGTATAGAATGAACGCAACACAAAACTCAGAAGCTCTGATCCAATTGATTTTGTTTTAACTATTAGAAAAAATCCTTAACTGCTTCTCATTCAGTCTACAGCTGAGTTTAGTGTAGAAGGCAACACACTATTGCAAATATAGTGTGTGATTACACAACAAATTCTGGGGGAGAAACTCTGGACCCCGTGTCAATGGGTGTAGACTCAGGTCGTAGTGAATGTCCCCACCAAGATTGGAACCAAACCTACACCATTGGTATCAGTAGTAGCAGTAGTTGCAGTATCAGTAGTATCAGCAGTAGTAGCAGTAGTAGTAGTAGTTGCAGTATCAGTAGTAGCAGTAGTAGTAGTAGTAGTAGCAGTAGTAGTAGCAGTAGTAGTAGTAGTAGTTGCAGTAGCAGTAGTAGTAGTAGTAGTAGTTGCAGTAGTAGTAGCAGTAGTAGCAGTAGTAGTAGTAGTAGTAGTAGTTGCAGTATCAGTAGTAGTAGTAGTAGTAGTAGTAGCAGTAGCAGTAGTAGTAGTAGTAGTAGTTGCAGTATCAGTATTAGTAGTAGTAGTAGTAGTATCAGTAGTAGCAGTAGTAGTAGTAGTTGCAGTAGCAGTAGTAGTAGTAGTAGTAGTTGCAGTAGTAGTAGTAGTAGTAGTAGTAGCAGTAGTATCAGTAGTAGCAGTAGTATCAGTAGTAGTAGTATCAGTAGTAGTAGTAGTAGTAGTAGTATCAGTAGTAGCAGTAGTATCAGTAGTAGTAGTATCAGTAGTAGTAGTATCAGTAGTAGTAGTAGTATCAGTAGTAGTAGTATCAGTAGTAGTAGTAGTAGTAGTAGTATCAGTAGTAGCAGTAGTATCAGTAGTAGTAGTATCAGTAGTAGTAGTATCAGTAGTAGTAGTAGTAGTAGTAGTATCAGTAGTAGTATCAGTAGTAGTAGTATCAGTAGTAGTAGTAGTAGTAGTAGTATCAGTAGTAGTAGTAGTAGTAGTATCAGTAGTAGTAGTAGTATCAGTAGTAGTAGTAGTAGTAGTAGTAGTATCAGTGGTAGCAGTAGTATCAGTAGTAGTAGTATCAGTAGTAGTAGTATCAGTAGTAGTAGTATCAGTAGTAGTATCAGTAGTAGTATCAGTAGTAGTAGTATCAGTAGTAGTAGTATCAGTAGTAGCAGTAGTAGTTGCAGTAGCAGTAGTAGTAGTAGTAGTTGCAGTAGCAGTAGTAGTAGTAGTAGTAGTAGTAGTATCAGTAGTAGTAGTAGTATCAGTAGTAGTAGTAGTATCAGTAGTAGTAGTAGTAGTAGTAGTATCAGTAGTAGTAGTAGTATCAGTAGTAGTATCAGTAGTAGTAGTAGTATCAGTAGTAACAGTAGTATCAGTAGTATACCGATTCTCCGGCTCAGCACTTCTACGATGCTGGGAGGGAAGAATCCCACTCTGTCGGTCCCTCGCTGTGGATCGTGAATGTGGCCTTTCCAGCGGCCGTCTGCGTGCTGCTCCATCACCTGCAGACGCCAACCAGGACGTTAAAGCTGGGGTACGTAATGTTAAAGCTGGGGTACGTAATGTTAAAGCTGGGATACGTAATGTTAAAGCTGGGGTACGTAATGTTAAAGCTGGGGTACGTAATGTTAAAGCTGGGGTACGTAATGTTAAAGCTGGGGTACGTAATGTTAAAGCTGGGGTACGTAATGTTAAAGCTGGGGTACGTAATGTTAAAGCTGGGGTACGTAATGTTAAAGCTGGGGTACGTAATGTTAAAGCTGGGGTACGTAATGTTAAAGCTGGGATATGCAATGTTAAAGCTGGGGTACGTAATGTTAAAGCTGGGATATGTAATGTTAAAGCTGGGGTACGTAATGTTAAAGCTGGGATACGTAATGTTAAAGCTGGGATACGTAATGTTAAAGCTGGGGTACGTAATGTTAAAGCTGGGATACGTAATGTTAAAGCTGGGGTACGTAATGTTAAAGCTGGGATATGCAATGTTAAAGCTGGGATATGCAAAGTTAAAGCTCGGGTACGTAATGTTAAAGCTGGGGTACGTAATGTTAAAGCTGGGGTACGTAATGTTAAAGCTGGGGTACGTAATGTTAAAGCTGGGATATGCAAAGTTAAAGCTCGGGTACGTAATGTTAAAGCTGGGATATGTAATGTTAAAGCTGGGGTACGTAATGTTAAAGCTGGGGTACGTAATGTTAAAGCTGGGATATGTAATGTTAAAGCTGGGGTACGTAATGTTAAAGCTGGGATACGTAATGTTAAAGCTGGGATACGTAATGTTAAAGCTGGGGTACGTAATGTTAAAGCTGGGGTACGTAATGTTAAAGCTGGGGTACGTAATGTTAAAGCTGGGATACGTAATGTTAAAGCTGGGATACGTAATGTTAAAGCTGGGGTACGTAATGTTAAAGCTGGGATACGTAATGTTAAAGCTGGGGTACGTAATGTTAAAGCTGGGATACGTAATGTTAAAGCTGGGATACGTAATGTTAAAGCTGGGGTACGTAATGTTAAAGCTGGGATACGTAATGTTAAAGCTGGGGTACGTAATGTTAAAGCTGGGGTACGTAATGTTAAAGCTGGGGTACGTAATGTTAAAGCTGGGATATGCAAAGTTAAAGCTCGGGTACGTAATGTTAAAGCTGGGATATGTAATGTTAAAGCTGGGGTACGTAATGTTAAAGCTGGGATATGTAATGTTAAAGCTGGGGTACGTAATGTTAAAGCTGGGATATGTAATGTTAAAGCTGGGGTACGTAATGTTAAAGCTGGGATACGTAATGTTAAAGCTGGGGTACGTAATGTTAAAGCTGGGATATGTAATGTTAAAGCTGGGATACGTAATGTTAAAGCTGGGGTACGTAATGTTAAAGCTGGGGTACGTAATGTTAAAGCTGGGGTACGTAATGTTAAAGCTGGGATACGTAATGTTAAAGCTGGGGTACGTAATGTTAAAGCTGGGATACGTAATGTTAAAGCTGGGGTACGTAATGTTAAAGCTGGGATACGTAATGTTAAAGCTGGGATACGTAATGTTAAAGCTGGGGTACGTAATGTTAAAGCTGGGGTACGTAATGTTAAAGCTGGGGTACGTAATGTTAAAGCTGGGGTACGTAATGTTAAAGCTGGGGTACGTAATGTTAAAGCTGGGATATGCAAAGTTAAAGCTCGGGTACGTAATGTTAAAGCTGGGATATGTAATGTTAAAGCTGGGGTACGTAATGTTAAAGCTGGGATACGTAATGTTAAAGCTGGGGTACGTAATGTTAAAGCTGGGGTACGTAATGTTAAAGCTGGGGTACGTAATGTTAAAGCTGGGATATGTAATGTTAAAGCTGGGGTACGTAATGTTAAAGCTGGGATACGTAATGTTAAAGCTGGGATACGTAATGTTAAAGCTGGGGTACGTAATGTTAAAGCTGGGGTACGTAATGTTAAAGCTGGGATATGTAATGTTAAAGCTGGGATATGTAATGTTAAAGCTGGGATACGTAATGTTAAAGCTGGGGTACGTAATGTTAAAGCTGGGATATGTAATGTTAAAGCTGGGGTACGTAATGTTAAAGCTGGGGTACGTAATGTTAAAGCTGGGATACGTAATGTTAAAGCTGGGGTACGTAATGTTAAAGCTGGGGTACGTAATGTTAAAGCTGGGGTACGTAATGTTAAAGCTGGGGTACGTAATGTTAAAGCTGGGATATGTAATGTTAAAGCTGGGATATGTAATGTTAAAGCTGGGATACGTAATGTTAAAGCTGGGGTACGTAATGTTAAAGCTGGGATATGTAATGTTAAAGCTGGGGTACGTAATGTTAAAGCTGGGGTACGTAATGTTAAAGCTGGGATACGTAATGTTAAAGCTGGGGTACGTAATGTTAAAGCTGGGGTACGTAATGTTAAAGCTGGGGTACGTAATGTTAAAGCTGGGATATGTAATGTTAAAGCTGGGGTACGTAATGTTAAAGCTGGGGTACGTAATGTTAAAGCTGGGGTACGTAATGTTAAAGCTGGGATACGTAATGTTAAAGCTGGGATATGTAATGTTAAAGCTGGGGTACGTAATGTTAAAGCTGGGGTACGTAATGTTAAAGCTGGGGTACGTAATGTTAAAGCTGGGGTACGTAATGTTAAAGCTGGGATATGTAATGTTAAAGCTGGGGTACGTAATGTTAAAGCTGGGGTACGTAATGTTAAAGCTGGGGTACGTAATGTTAAAGCTGGGATATGTAATGTTAAAGCTGGGGTACGTAATGTTAAAGCTGGGATATGTAATGTTAAAGCTGGGATACGTAATGTTAAAGCTGGGATATGTAATGTTAAAGCTGGGGTACGTAATGTTAAAGCTGGGGTACGTAATGTTAAAGCTGGGGTACGTAATGTTAAAGCTGGGGTACGTAATGTTAAAGCTGGGATACGTAATGTTAAAGCTGGGATATGTAATGTTAAAGCTGGGGTACGTAATGTTAAAGCTGGGATATGTAATGTTAAAGCTGGGATACGTAATGTTAAAGCTGGGATATGTAATGTTAAAGCTGGGGTACGTAATGTTAAAGCTGGGGTACGTAATGTTAAAGCTGGGGTACGTAATGTTAAAGCTGGGATATGTAATGTTAAAGCTGGGGTACGTAATGTTAAAGCTGGGGTACGTAATGTTAAAGCTGGGATATGCAATGTCAAAGCTGGGATATGCAAAGTTAAAGCTCGGGTACGTAATGTTAAAGCTGGGATATGTAATGTTAAAGCTGGGGTACGTAATGTTAAAGCTGGGGTACGTAATGTTAAAGCTGGGGTACGTAATGTTAAAGCTGGGATATGCAATGTTAAAGCTGGGATATGCAAAGTTAAAGCTCGGGTACGTAATGTTAAAGCTGGGATATGTAATGTTAAAGCTGGGGTACGTAATGTTAAAGCTGGGGTACGTAATGTTAAAGCTGGGGTACGTAATGTTAAAGCTGGGGTACGTAATGTTAAAGCTGGGATATGTAATGTTAAAGCTGGGGTACGTAATGTTAAAGCTGGGATATGTAATGTTAAAGCTGGGATACGTAATGTTAAAGCTGGGATATGTAATGTTAAAGCTGGGGTACGTAATGTTAAAGCTGGGGTACGTAATGTTAAAGCTGGGGTACGTAATGTTAAAGCTGGGGTACGTAATGTTAAAGCTGGGGTACGTAATGTTAAAGCTGGGGTACGTAATGTTAAAGCTGGGATATGTAATGTTAAAGCTGGGGTACGTAATGTTAAAGCTGGGGTACGTAATGTTAAAGCTGGGGTACGTAATGTTAAAGCTGGGATATGTAATGTTAAAGCTGGGGTACGTAATGTTAAAGCTGGGGTACGTAATGTTAAAGCTGGGATATGTAATGTTAAAGCTGGGGTACGTAATGTTAAAGCTGGGATATGTAATGTTAAAGCTGGGGTACGTAATGTTAAAGCTGGGATATGTAATGTTAAAGCTGGGGTACGTAATGTTAAAGCTGGGATATGTAATGTTAAAGCTGGGATATGTAATGTTAAAGCTGGGGTACGTAATGTTAAAGCTGGGGTACGTAATGTTAAAGCTGGGGTACGTAATGTTAAAGCTGGGGTACGTAATGTTAAAGCTGGGATATGTAATGTTAAAGCTGGGGTACGTAATGTTAAAGCTGGGATATGTAATGTTAAAGCTGGGATACGTAATGTTAAAGCTGGGATATGCAATGTTAAAGCTGGGATATGCAAAGTTAAAGCTCGGGTACGTAATGTTAAAGCTGGGATATGTAATGTTAAAGCTGGGGTACGTAATGTTAAAGCTGGGGTACGTAATGTTAAAGCTGGGGTACGTAATGTTAAAGCTGGGATATGTAATGTTAAAGCTGGGGTACGTAATGTTAAAGCTGGGATATGTAATGTTAAAGCTGGGATACGTAATGTTAAAGCTGGGATATGTAATGTTAAAGCTGGGGTACGTAATGTTAAAGCTGGGGTACGTAATGTTAAAGCTGGGGTACGTAATGTTAAAGCTGGGGTACGTAATGTTAAAGCTGGGGTACGTAATGTTAAAGCTGGGATATGTAATGTTAAAGCTGGGGTACGTAATGTTAAAGCTGGGGTACGTAATGTTAAAGCTGGGATATGCAATGTTAAAGCTGGGATATGCAAAGTTAAAGCTCGGGTACGTAATGTTAAAGCTGGGATATGTAATGTTAAAGCTGGGGTACGTAATGTTAAAGCTGGGGTACGTAATGTTAAAGCTGGGGTACGTAATGTTAAAGCTGGGATACGTAATGTTAAAGCTGGGGTACGTAATGTTAAAGCTGGGATACGTAATGTTAAAGCTGGGGTACGTAATGTTAAAGCTGGGATACGTAATGTTAAAGCTGGGGTACGTAATGTTAAAGCTGGGGTACGTAATGTTAAAGCTGGGGTACGTAATGTTAAAGCTGGGATACGTAATGTTAAAGCTGGGATATGTAATGTTAAAGCTGGGGTACGTAATGTTAAAGCTGGGGTACGTAATGTTACAGCTGGGGTACGTAATGTTAAAGCTGGGATATGCAAAGTTAAAGCTCGGGTACGTAATGTTAAAGCTGGGATATGTAATGTTAAAGCTGGGGTACGTAATGTTAAAGCTGGGATATGTAATGTTAAAGCTGGGGTACGTAATGTTAAAGCTGGGATATGTAATGTTAAAGCTGGGGTACGTAATGTTAAAGCTGGGATACGTAATGTTAAAGCTGGGATACGTAATGTTAAAGCTGGGGTACGTAATGTTAAAGCTGGGATACGTAATGTTAAAGCTGGGGTACGTAATGTTAAAGCTGGGATACGTAATGTTAAAGCTGGGATACGTAATGTTAAAGCTGGGGTACGTAATGTTAAAGCTGGGGTACGTAATGTTAAAGCTGGGGTACGTAATGTTAAAGCTGGGGTACGTAATGTTAAAGCTGGGATATGCAAAGTTAAAGCTCGGGTACGTAATGTTAAAGCTGGGATATGTAATGTTAAAGCTGGGGTACGTAATGTTAAAGCTGGGATACGTAATGTTAAAGCTGGGATACGTAATGTTAAAGCTGGGGTACGTAATGTTAAAGCTGGGGTACGTAATGTTAAAGCTGGGGTACGTAATGTTAAAGCTGGGATATGTAATGTTAAAGCTGGGGTACGTAATGTTAAAGCTGGGATACGTAATGTTAAAGCTGGGATACGTAATGTTAAAGCTGGGGTACGTAATGTTAAAGCTGGGGTACGTAATGTTAAAGCTGGGATATGTAATGTTAAAGCTGGGGTACGTAATGTTAAAGCTGGGGTACGTAATGTTAAAGCTGGGATATGTAATGTTAAAGCTGGGGTACGTAATGTTAAAGCTGGGATATGTAATGTTAAAGCTGGGGTACGTAATGTTAAAGCTGGGATACGTAATGTTAAAGCTGGGGTACGTAATGTTAAAGCTGGGGTACGTAATGTTAAAGCTGGGGTACGTAATGTTAAAGCTGGGGTACGTAATGTTAAAGCTGGGATATGTAATGTTAAAGCTGGGGTACGTAATGTTAAAGCTGGGGTACGTAATGTTAAAGCTGGGATATGCAATGTTAAAGCTGGGATATGCAAAGTTAAAGCTCGGGTACGTAATGTTAAAGCTGGGATATGTAATGTTAAAGCTGGGGTACGTAATGTTAAAGCTGGGGTACGTAATGTTAAAGCTGGGGTACGTAATGTTAAAGCTGGGATATGTAATGTTAAAGCTGGGGTACGTAATGTTAAAGCTGGGATATGTAATGTTAAAGCTGGGATACGTAATGTTAAAGCTGGGATATGTAATGTTAAAGCTGGGGTACGTAATGTTAAAGCTGGGGTACGTAATGTTAAAGCTGGGGTACGTAATGTTAAAGCTGGGGTACGTAATGTTAAAGCTGGGGTACGTAATGTTAAAGCTGGGATATGTAATGTTAAAGCTGGGGTACGTAATGTTAAAGCTGGGGTACGTAATGTTAAAGCTGGGATACGTAATGTTAAAGCTGGGGTACGTAATGTTAAAGCTGGGGTACGTAATGTTAAAGCTGGGGAACGTAATGTTAAAGCTGGGGTACGTAATGTTAAAGCTGGGATACGTAGTGTTAAAGCTGGGGTACGTAATGTTAAAGCTGGGGTACGTAATGTTAAAGCTGGGATATGTAATGTTAAAGCTGGGGTACGTAATGTTAAAGCTGGGTACGTAATGTTAAAGCTGGGATATGTAATGTTAAAGCTGGGGTACGTAATGTTAAAGCTGGGGTACGTAATGTTAAAGCTGGGGTACGTAATGTTAAAGCTGGGGTACGTAATGTTAAAGCTGGGTACGTAATGTTAAAGCTGGGATATGTAATGTTAAAGCTGGGATATGTAATGTTAAAGCTGGGGTACGTAATGTTAAAGCTGGGGTACGTAATGTTAAAGCTGGGATATGTAATGTTAAAGCTGGGATACGTAATGTTAAAGCTGGGATACGTAATGTTAAAGCTGGGGTACGTAATGTTAAAGCTGGGATACGTAATGTTAAAGCTGGGATACGTAATGTTAAAGCTGGGGTACGTAATGTTAAAGCTGGGATACGTAATGTTAAAGCTGGGATACGTAATGTTAAAGCTGGGATACGTAATGTTAAAGCTGGGATACGTAATGTTAAAGCTGGGATACGTAACTGAACACGTTCCTGGCTCTAAAACAGTTTTCACATCATGTACTTCTGTCTCAGTCACATGATCAGAGAGGACCTGCCTCACTCTCAGAGCTCTTACACAGAAGATGAAGACATCGTGTTGTCACAATGTTTCACAGCATTATAAGACTTTCTGTTAAACTACATGTTATTTATTAGGCTAAAGTTACGTCCCCCAGCTTTAAAGCACAGTCTCTGTTACCGTGATGATGTCGCCCGCTCGGATGTTGAGTGCTGTAGGGTCGTGGATGTTCCAGTAGTCCTTCAGAGCACGGACCTGCAGGACTCCAGTGGCATCTGAGAAACCAGGGGTCAGAGCTTTAGTCAGAGGGAGCTGCAGGACATTTTGGCTCAGATGAACAGACATTTTGGCTCAGATGAACAGACATTTTGGCTCAGATGGACAGACATTTTGGCTCAGATGGACAGACATTTTGGCTCAGATGGACAGACATTTTGGCTCAGATGGACAGACATTTTGGCTCAGATGGACAAACATTTTGGCTCAGATGAACAGACATTTTGGCTCAGATGGACAGACATTTTGGCTCAGATGGACAGACATTTTGGCTCAGATGGACAGACATTTTGGCTCAGATGGACAGACATTTTGGCTCAGATGATCAGACATTTTGGCTCAGATACACAGACATTTTGGCTCAGATGGACAGACATTTTGGCTCAGATGGACAAACATTTTGGCTCAGATGAACAGACATTTTGGCTCAGATGGACAGACATTTTGGCTCAGATGGACAGACATTTTGGCTCAGATGAACAGACATTTTGGCTCAGATGAGCAGACATTTTGGCTCAGATGATACCTCTCAGCAGCTGCTTGATGCTTCTGCTCGCGGTGTTCGCGGTGAACTGGTTCACGATGTCTAGAGCCGTCTGGTTGTACGTGTTGCGGATGTTGACGTCGACTCCGGCCTGAGGAGAGATCAGAGCTGAGGACTGGAGCTGACTCTACAGGGGCCACCAAACTTTAACTTTAAATCCATTACTTGAAGCCCTCGGATTTAGAGTTGAACTTCACTGTGTATTTTGCGGACGGGTAAAAATGGGGATTTTGTGCTGGTTCTGACTGGATGGAGCTCTGTAAGAACATTCTGTTCTGTCACATGTTCAGTTTGTTCAGACTCTGACAATCAGCAGCTCCTGGTGTGTGTTCGGTTCACAATCATTTACTTTTGCATAAAACGTGCCTCATTGTTGCTCATCGTGCACGTGTTTTCGCCGTTGGAAAGTCTCTCTGACTCAAACCAGACTCTTGAGCGGCTCATTTCTCTGTGAAATTGACTCTTTTTAAATGCTTTAAAGATCAACTCTGAGTTTAGACTCTCATAAGTCTCTGCTCTTTCATAAACGCTAACCACTGAGCAAAGGGGCGGGGACAAAAGACCGGGTCCACAGACTTTGGGACCAGTACTATTCATACATCATAGTATTGGTCCATCTGCTCTACAGACTCAAACCGGCGACTCACGTCCAGCAGGAGGCGCACCACCTCGGTCTTGCCGTATAGAGCTGCTTCATGTAGAGCGGTCCCAGACCTGGTGCTCTTGTTGATGTCGATGCCGGACTTGAGCAGAAGCCTAAAAGAGTCAACATCAAAGACAGAAGTTACTGAAACTTTGGTCTCTCTGGGTTTCGACGCTGCAGAGGCGTGTTTTTAGACCTGCGTTGAAGTGGTGAGTCAACCAGTGGGAAATGTTGGCTTTATAACATGGACAACCTCCAGGGGGCGCCACAACAGGAAACTTACATGACTTTTATAAAGCTCATACACACACAGACCAGAGACAGACCAGAGACAGACCAGAGACAGACCAGAGACAGACCAGAGAGACCAGAGAGACCAGAGAGACCAGAGAGACCAGAGAGACCAGAGAGACCAGAGAGAGACCAGAGAGAGACCAGAGAGAGAGACCAGAGAGAGACCAGAGAGAGAGACCAGAGAGAGAGACCAGAGAGACCAGAGAGACCAGAGAGACCAGAGAGACCAGAGAGACCAGAGACAGACCAGAGAGAGAGACCAGAGAGAGACCAGAGAGAGAGACCAGAGAGAGACCAGAGAGAGACCAGAGAGAGACCAGAGAGAGACCAGAGAGACCAGAGAGAGACCAGAGAGAGACTAGAGAGAGACCAGAGAGAGACCAGAGAGACCAGAGAGACCAGAGAGAGACCAGAGAGAGACCAGAGAGAGACCAGAGAGAGACCAGAGAGAGAGACCAGAGAGAGACCAGAGAGAGAGACCAGAGAGAGACCAGAGAGACCAGAGAGAGACCAGAGAGAGACCAGAGAGACCAGAGAGAGACCAGAGAGAGACCAGAGAGAGACCAGAGAGAGACCAGAGAGACCAGAGAGACCAGAGAGAGACCAGAGAGAGACCAGAGAGAGACCAGAGAGAGACCAGAGAGAGAGACCAGAGAGAGACCAGAGAGAGAGACCAGAGAGAGACCAGAGAGAGACCAGAGAGAGACCAGAGAGACCAGAGAGAGACCAGAGAGAGACCAGAGAGAGACCAGAGAGAGACCAGAGAGACCAGAGAGACCAGAGAGAGACCAGAGAGACCAGAGAGAGACCAGAGAGACCAGAGAGAGACCAGAGAGAGACCAGAGAGAGAGACCAGAGAGACCAGAGAGAAAGACCAGAGAGACCAGAGAGGCCGGAGAGACCAGAGAGAGATCAGAGAGAGACCAGAGAGAGACCAGAGAGACCAGAGAGAGACCAGAGAGAGACCAGAGAGAGAGACCAGAGAGACCAGAGAGACACCAGAGAGAGACCAGAGAGACCAGAGAGACCAGAGAGAGACCAGAGAGAAAGACCAGAGAGACCAGAGAGAGACCAGAGAGAGACCAGAGAGACCAGAGAGAGACCAGAGAGAGACCAGAGAGAGAGACCAGAGAGACCAGAGAGACACCAGAGAGAGACCAGAGAGAAAGACCAGAGAGACCAGAGAGGCCGGAGAGACCAGAGAGAGATCAGAGAGAGACCAGAGAGAGACCAGAGAGACCAGAGAGAGACCAGAGAGAGACCAGAGAGAGAGACCAGAGAGACCAGAGAGACACCAGAGAGACACCAGAGAGAGACCAGAGAGACCAGAGAGACCAGAGAGAGACCAGAGAGAAAGACCAGAGAGACCAGAGAGGCCGGAGAAGCCGGAGTTTAAGACACTTTCCAACATATTTTTAATGGTTTTTATGAACTAGAACAGGACATTTTGGCTCAGATGAACTAACTTGATGATGTCTTTGTGGCCGTTGCGCGCTGCCAGATGAAGAGGAGTGGTGAAGGACGAGTCGCTCTGCTCCTTCTTCTCCCCCTCCAGGAGCCCAGCGGCCATGTTACTGCTGAGCAGCAACTGCACCACCTACAGGACACACATATTACTGCACCATGTCTCTCGTCTCTCTCTCTGGTCTCTCTCTCTGGTTTCTCTCTCTGGTCTCTCTCTGGTCTCTCTCTGGTCTCTCTCTGGTCTCTCTCTCTCTGGTTCCTCTCTCTGGTCTCTCTCTCTCTGGTTCCTCTCTCTGGTCTCTCTCTCTGGTCTCTCTCTCTGGTCCCTCTCTCTGGTCTCTCTCTCTGGTCTCTCTCTGGTCTCTCTCTCTCTGGTTCCTCTCTCTGGTCTCTCTCTCTGGTCTCTCTCTCTGGTCTCTCTCTCTGGTCTCTCTCTCTGGTCTCTCTCTCTGGTCCCTCTCTCTGGTCTCTCTCTCTGGTCTCTCTCTGGTCTCTCTCTCTCTGGTTCCTCTCTCTGGTTTCTCTCTCTCTGGTTCCTCTCTCTGGTCTCTCTCTCTCTGGTCTCTCTCTCCGGTCTCTCTCTCTGGTCTCTCTCTGGTCTCTCTCTCTCTGGTCTCTCTCTCTGGTCTCTCTCTGGTCTCTCTCTCTGGTCTCTCTCTCTCTGGTTCCTCTCTCTGGTTTCTCTCTCTGGTCTCTCTCTCTCTGGTCTCTCTCTCTGGTCTCTCTCTGGTCTCTCTCTGGTCTCTCTCTGGTCTCTCGCTGGTCTCTCTCTGGTCTCTCTCTGGTCTCTCTCTGGTCTCTCTCTGGTCTCTCTCTCTGGTTCCTCTCTCTGGTCTCTCTCTGGTCTCTCTCTGGTCTCTCTCTGGTCTCTCTCTGGTCTCTCTCTGGTCTCTCTCTGGTCTCTCTCTGGTCTCTCGCTGGTCTCTCTCTGGTCTCTCGCTGGTCTCTCTCTGGTCTCTCTCTGGTCTCTCTCTGGTCTCTCCCTGTCTTCCTTTAGACTGTACCATGTTAGAAGTGTGTTTTCCACTGACCTGTAGACGTCCAAACTCACAGGCGAGGTCCAGCGGCGTCTTCTTGGACTTGTTCAGGAGACACGGGTTTGACTGGTGCTGGAGCAGCATCTCAGACTGAGGAGAGAGACCTGTTTAGTCCTGGTTTAGTCTTGCTGTAGTCCTGCTTTAGACCTGCTTTAGTCCTGCTTTAGACCTGCTTTAGACCTGCTTTAGTCCTGCTTTAGTCCTGCTTTAGACCTGCTTTAGACCTGCTTTAGTCCTGCTTTAGACCTGCTTTAGACCTGCTTTAGTCCTGCTTTAGACCTGCTTTAGTCCTGCTTTAGTCCTGCTTTAGACCTGCTTTAGTCCTGCTTTAGACCTGCTTTAGACCTGCTTTAGTCCTGCCTTAGTCCTGCTTTAGACCTGCTTTAGACCAGCTTTAGTCCTGCTTTAGACCTGCTTTAGACCTGCTTTAGTCCTGCTTTAGACCTGCTTTAGACCTGCTTTAGTCCTGCTTTAAACCTGCTTTAGACCTGCTTTAGTCCTGCTTTAGACCTGCTTTAGACCTGCTTTAGTCCTGCTTTAGACCTGCTTTAGTCCTGCTTTAGACCTGCTTTAGACCTGCTTTAGTCCTGCCTTAGTCCTGCTTTAGACCTGCTTTAGACCAGCTTTAGTCCTGCTTTAGACCTGCTTTAGACCTGCTTTAGTCCTGCTTTAGACCTGCTTTAGTCCTGCTTTAGACCTGCTTTAGACCTGCTTTAGTCCTGCCTTAGTCCTGCTTTAGACCTGCTTTAGACCAGCTTTAGTCCTGCTTTAGTCCTGCTCTAGACCTGCTTTAGACCAGCTTTAGTCCTGCTTTAGTCCTGCTTCAGTCCGGCTTCAGTCCTGGTCCTGGACTCACCACATGGAAGTGTCCGTACTGGGCCGACAGGTGCAGGGGTGTGTGTCCGTCGTGGGACGTCCCGTTCACTGAGGCTCCAGACCTCAGCAGCAGCAGCACACTGTCGCCCCCTCCCTGCCACGCAGCGTAGTGCAGCGGCCTCATGCCTGTAGGGGGCAGTCCGGAGCAGTCAGTCTGTGTGTCTGTGTCTGTGTCTGTGTGTGTGTGTGTGTGTGTGTGTGTGTGTGTGTGTGTGTGTGTGTGTGTGTGTGTGTCTGTGTGTCTGTGTGTGTGTGTGTCTGTGTGTGTGCACTTGTTTTCAACTCCTGGTGGGTTCCATAACCTGAGATTCCACTCACGTCATGGGGACTGGTTTTACGTGGTGGGGCCCGAACACCGGACCCCACTGGTCCAAGCTTAATAATCAATGGGTAATGCTTTTCTAACGGTCCTTATGCAGTCTCTGTAAAAATATGGAAAGGACCCCTGGAGGTTTACTTTCCTGAAAAAAGTGTGTTATGTGTCGGAACCCTGGTGGTGGGTTGCGGGATATCAAGGAGGGGCACACTGGGGCAATTTCAGTCCAGCAGGCTGGAGCCAATCATGGAGCAGCACAACAGAGGAAATCAGGTGTCAGGCTAGAAAAAGGTGCAAGTGTGTGGTTCATTAGGCTGCAAGAAATCACGGAGGAGCACACTGAAGCGCACGCTTACAAACCACTGGTAAGTGCTGACTACAAGTCATGACTTCAAATTGTTATATAGAATGATTACAAATTATTTGTTGTTTGTGCAGCTTAGTCAAGAGTCCCTAATTGATGAAGTCGACTCAGATTCTGACGATTTAACTGTCAAGAAGAAACCTGTAAAAAAGTATGGAAAAAGAAAAATCAAAAACACTTTTCTTCAAGACTCGGAAAGTGACGAACCAAAGGCAAATAAGATTGTTATCATGCAGCTGCAAAAGAAGAAAAATGGGGGGCGAGTATACAGCAAGAGACACTTCTGCCTCTACTGTTCAATGTCCTGCCACAAAATGTCCCGTCATTTGACTAGAAAACATGGAAATGAAAGTGACGTAGCCAGAGCATTGGCTCTACCTGTGAAATCTAAAGCACGTAAACTTCAGTTTGATTTGATCAGGAATAGTGGAAACCGTGAGCACAATTTTGAGGTTTTAAAGGCCGGCATTGGAACTTTAGTCCCAGCTAAACAGCCAAATTCCCCAGTTAAATCCAGTGAGTTTTTGCACTGTATAGACTGTGGGGCATTGCTTAAGCGAAAGTCGCTGTGGAGGCATGTGGCCAGGTGCCGGCTTTCACAGAAAGATGCCCAGGCTAAACCAGGTAGAAGTAGGGTCCAGTCCCTCTGCTCCCTAGCCCAGCCTGTACCGGAGGGCATCAGCAAAAAGCTGTGGTCTTTAATTTCGGCAATGCATCAGGATGAGGTCACGGGTGTTGTCAAAGCAGAAAAGGGGATTCTGAGACTCGGAGAGCACCTGTACTTAAAACACGGGCATGATAAGACAAAGCATGATTACATTAGGCAGAAAATGAGAGAAGTCGGTAGGTTAATTAACGAAGCAAAAACCGCAGGGAAACTGAAAACAATTAAGGATTTCTTTATTCCTTCCAACTTTAACCATGTGATTGATGCAGTCAGGTCTGTGGCTGGATATGATGAGGAAACAAATCAATACAAGACTCCATCCTTGGCCCTCAAACTCGGCCATAGCCTCAGAAAGCTAGCAGATATTCTTGAATGTGACTCAAAAATGGAGCATTGTGTTGATGAACTATTTATTAAAAACCTCCAACGAAGCCGGCTGCTTTTTGAGAAGAGGTGGGACGTCTGTGTTTCTTCTGCTGCCCTACAGACCCTCCGGCAAGCCAAGTGGAACACTCCGGACCTGCTCCCTCTGACTGAGGACGTTAGAGCCATGCATGCACATATTGAGGTATGTCGACCTGAATATGTGCAAACCCTAATAAGTGAGCCAACGTCTAAGCATTGGTCTAAACTGGCAGTTTTGACTCTTTGTGAGGTCATCATTTTCAATCGAAGAAGGGAAGGTGAGGTTTCAAAGATGCCACTGACAGCCTTTACCTTAAGAAGTAAGACTGGGATCCATTCTGACATTGCTCTGGGACTGTCCCAACTTGAGAAAAAGCTGTGTCAGCATTTTCAACGCATTGAAATTAAAGGGAAAAGAAGTCGGAAAGTGCCGGTTCTTTTGACTCCTGAAATGATTGCTTCGATGGAGGTGCTGGTGGAGAACAGAAGGGCCTGTTCCATCTCTGACCATAACCCATACTTCTTTTCCCGCCCGGGCGCAGACACCCACATCAGGGGATCAGACTCCCTACGCCAGGTAGCCAAAGAATGTGGTGCGGTGCATCCAGAGATGCTATCCTCAACCAAACTTAGAAAGCACATAGCTACTATGTCTACAGTTCTCAATATGAAAGAGAATGAGATGGACATACTTGCCAACTTCCTCGGCCATGACATTCGCATCCACAGGCAATATTACAGACTACCAGAGGGGACACTGGAGCTGGCCAAAATCAGCAAAGTGTTGATGGCCATGGAGCAGGGAAGAGTGACGGAATTCGAAGGAAAGAGCCTCGACCAGATACAAATTGAGCCTGAAGGTAATTCTTGATATTATTAAAATATGTATGATTTTTTTCCCCTAAAGGCCACTTGTATTTTTATTTTCTGTGCGACAGGGAGAGCAGTAGAGATCCTCTCACAAACGGACGGGCTAAAAGAAACTTCAAGCGGAGAACCTTCAACCATTCATCCAGATGCACCCCATGGTAGTGGCAGTGCCCCTTCTGGTAAGTGTACCAGGTGGGGGATTACAGCCAGGCTGCTTGGTCCTCACCCTGGGAGTGTATATTGCTAATATATTTTTATTTCTCTCCCTAGAACGTTAGAGAAAGCCATGGTCTGCATCTGAGGTGAAGGCTGTGGAGAAGACCATGACACCTTTCATACAGACTGGAAAGGTCCCTGGGAAGTCTCACTGCCTGGCCTGCATTAATGCCTCACCAGATGACCTTAGACATCGGACATGGAGTGGCATTAAATTCTATGTCAAAAATAGAATCACTGCAATTCGAAAACAAAATCTAAAATAAAATTCCTTTAAAATAGTTGTTTGGTTTCTATTGACTGTTTTGTATTACTTAAAGTCTTGGTAAAAAAAGATTATGTCTATGGGTCCCATTCTGAACGGCCCTGTCAAAGGGACCCACCAGGTAACAAAAACGTGTATGTGTGTGTGTGTGTGTGTGTGTGTGTGTGTGTGTGTGTGTGTGTGTATGAGAGTGTGTGTGTGTGCGAGTGTGTGTGTGTGTGTGTGTGTGTGTGTGTGTGCACTTGTTTTCAACTCCTGGTGGGTCCATAACCTGAGATTCCACTCACGTCATGGGGACTGGTTTTACGTGGTGGGGCCCGAACACCGGACCCCACTGGTCCAAGCTTAATAATCAATGGGTAATGCTTTTCTAACGGTCCTTATGCAGTCTCTGTAAAAATATGGAAAGGACCCCTGGAGGTTTACTTTCCTGAAAAAAGTGTGTTATGTGTCGGAACCCTTGGTGGGTTGCGGGATCAAGGAGGGGCACACTGGGGCAATTTCAATGTGTGACATTTATCACATGTGTGACATTTATCAACATGTGTGACAAGATTTATCAACATGTGTGACATTTATCACATGTGTGACATTTATCACATGTGTGACATTTATCACATGTATGACATTTATCACATGTGAGACATTTATCACATGTATGACATTTATCACATGTGTGACATTTATCACATGTGTGACATTTATCAACATGTGTGACATTTATCACATGTATGACATTTATCACATGTGTGACATTTATCAACATGTGTGACATTTATCAACATGTGTGACATTTATCACATGTGTGACATTTATCAACATGTGTGACATTTATCACATGTATGACATTTATCACATGTGTGACATTTATCAACATGTGTGACATTTATCACATGTGTGACATTTATCAACATGTGTGACATTTATCACATGTGTGACATTTATCACATGTGTGACATTTATCAACATGTGTGACATTTATCACATGTGTGACATTTATCACATGTGTAACATTTATCACATGTGTGACATTTATCACATGTGTGACATTTATCACATGTGTGACATTTATCAACATGTGTGACATTTATCACATGTGTGACATTTATCACATTTGTGACATTTATCACATGTGTGACATTTATCACATGTGTGACATTTATCACATGTGTGACATGTATCAACATGTGTGACATTTATCAGCATGTGTGACATTTATCAACATGTGTGACATTTATCATGTGTGACATTTATCACATGTGTGACATTTATCACATGTATGACATTTATCACATGTATGACATTTATCACATGTGTGACATTTATCAACATGTGTGACATTTATCACATGTGTGACATTTATCACATTTGTGACATTTATCACATGTGTGACATTTATCAACATGTGTGACATTTATCACATGTGTAACATTTATCACATGTGTGACATTTATCACATGTGTGACATTTATCAACATGTGTGACATTTATCACATGTGTGACATTTATCACATGTGTGACATTTATCACATTTGTGACATTTATCACATGTGTGACATTTATCAACATGTGTGACATTTATCACATGTGTAACATTTATCACATGTGTGACATTTATCACATGTGTGACATTTATCACATGTGTGACATTTATCACATGTGTGACATTTATCACATGTATGACATTTATCATGTGTGACATTTATCACATGTGTGACATTTATCACATGTGTGACATTTATCACATGTGTGACATTTATCAACATGTGTGACATTTATCACATGTATGACATTTATCACATGTGTGACATTTATCAACATGTGTGACATTTATCAACATGTGTGACATTTATCACATGTATGACATTTATTACATGTATGACATTTATCAACATGTGTGACATTTATCACATGTGTGACATTTATCACATGTGTGACATTTATCACATGTGTAACATTTATCATGTGTGACATTTATCACATGTGTGACATTTATCACATGTGTGACATTTATCACATGT